AGACAGAGTGAGACTCTGTCTCAAAAAAAATAAAAAAGTAGCCATGTGTGGTATTACATGCCTATAATATAATGCCAGCTACTTAGGAGGCTGAGGCAGGAGGATCACTTCAACCAGGGAGGCAGAGGCTGCAGTGTGCTGCTATCACACGATTGGACTCCAGGCTGGTCAGGAAGAGCAAAACTACATCTCAAAAAAAATAAAAAAGAGCATGGATAGGGCAAAATCACAACAAAGAATACAAAACCAGAAAAACCCAAGATAGACAAGGGCAGATTCCTCATGTATGGAGGGACATTTTCCTCACCCACAGACTTCAGGTTCCTGTAGTTCTCCGACATCACTTCCCTGTATAAAGCCCTCTGCTCAGGGGTCAGGCATTTCCACTCGGCCAAAGAGAATTCTACAGCCACATCGCTGAAAGTCAAGCGTCCCTAAAATGGAAAACACATTTCAATAAAACATGATGGAGGACTGAGTTATCACCTTCATACAAAATGAGAAAGAGAAATTAAGTATGCATTTCATCAGACTGTGTTGTGACAAACCTAAGGTAAGGAGTTTTTGATTGTTTTGTCTCTATAGTTGCATTTTACTGCACTTTTTCACGATTTTAATATCACCTAAGTCACTGTGGAGGTCTCGATTTTATGGACAAGAGTGTACGGCTGAGGACCCCACAGGGTCGTGGGGTGTCCCTTATGTTGTGCTGAGGAACAGCATCTGAGAAATAAAGAGATAGGACACAGAAGTACATGGAAAACGCAGCTGGGCTCAGGGCGGCCACGCCACCTATAAGCAGAGTCAGGCGAGGCCCCAAACATCCAGAAGCGTGTTTATTTATCGTGTATACGTTAGGGGGCATGGCAGTGAGTGAAATCATCTTTGAGGATAGTGATAGGGTTTTGAGAAATAAAACAAGGGGTCCACCCGCATTAGGACACCCAGGCTAGGAGGTAGACAGAGCACAGCAAGGGGTCCGTTCCCATTAGGTCACGGAGGCAAGCGCCTTGTGCAGTAAGGGGTCCACCCCCATTAGGTCATGGAGGCAGGGAGGTGGGCCGTGCGCAGTGAAGAAGGTGCAGTGTGCAATACCTCATCAATAGGCATGCTACTTCTAAGAAGATTTATAGGAGGATGCTTTAAGTCACACAGTGGTGACAGAGCGGTAAGGGTCTACCGCCGCCAGCTGGCAGCTTCCAATGAGTTCTATAAGAAAATGCTTTTGAGCAGCACAGTAACAAGAGCTGATAAAGTTCACAGTCACCAAGGTGCAACTGCCGGTCTGAGGGCAGCCTTCCACAAAAACTGGAGCAAGGTCCTACAACTCCTTTATCAGGAGGAGTGGCTCTCGCCCCAAGCCTGCCATACAGCGGGTATCTTTACCATACTGAATGCTGCCGCCTTGGCCACGGATTCTTGTCCTGGTATAACTGATCTTCCCTTAAATCATGCTCTGTACTGTGTCTACTCTAGGCATTCCTCTGATTGTCAACTAAGATATACTTACATAGGGAAGTAACTGAGTGGTAAGATATTCTTTAGGCACTCAATCTATAAACTAGCATATGATAATATATAGAGGATTATATAAAGAGAAATAACTTGAGTAGTGACATTATAAATTAAGATATTCTTCAAAAAAAAAAAAAGAAAAAAAAGATATTCTTCAAGGGCCAGGCGCGGTGGCTCAAGCCACTAATCCCAGCACTTTGGGAGGCCGAGGCGGGTGGATCACGAGGTCGAGAGATCGAGACCATCCTGGTCAACATGGTGAAACCCCGTCTCTACTAAAAATACAAAAAATTAGCTGGGCATGGTGGCACGTGCCTGTAGTCCCAGCTACTCAGGAGGCTGAGGCAGGAGAATTGCCTGAACCGAGGAGGTGGAGGTTGCGGTGAGCCGAGATCGCGCCATTGCACTCCAGCCTGGGTAACAAGAGCGAAACTTCGTCTCAAAAAAAAAAAAAAGATATTCTTAAAGTCCTGACTCTATAAACTATTACACAATTATATAAAGGATTATATATAAAAAATAACTGAGGAGTAATGCTATAAACTGAGATATTCTTCAGGCCTCTATTGTGCCAGGATTCTGCTTAGCTCTCCTTCCACAGTACCTATATGGGGAGGTACTCACAAATATGAAAAATATACAAAGAAGAAAACACAGAGCTGGGCTCCTGCATGTATTCCCAGCACTTCGGGAAGCCAAAGCGAGCAGATGATGAGATTAGGAGTTCAGGGCCACTGTGGCCAACATGGTGAAACCCAGTCTTTATTAAAAACACAAAATAAATAAATTTTTTTTTTTTCTTTTGAGATGGAGTTTCGCTCTTGTTACCCAGGCTGGAGTGCAATGGGGTGATCTCGGCTCACCGCAACCTCCACCTCCTGGGTTCAGGCAATTCTCCTGCCTCAGCCTCCTGAGTAGCTGGAATTACAGACACCCGCCATCATGCCAAGCTAATTTTTTGTATTTTTGGTAGAGACGGGGTTTCACTGTTGACCAGGATGGTCTCGATCTCTTGACCTCGTGATCCACCCGCCTCGGCCTACCAAAGTGCTGGGATTAGAGGCGTGAGCCACTGCACCCGGCCTATAAACAAACTTTTTTTTTTTTTTTTTGAGACGGAGTTTCGCTCTTGTTGCCCAGGCTGGAGTGCAATGGCGCGATCTTGGCTCACCACAACCTCTGCCTCCTGGGTTCAGGCAATTCTCCTGCCTCAGCCTCCTGAGTAGCTGGGATTACAGGCACGCGCCACCATGCCCAGCTAACTTTTTTATCTTTTTAGTAGAGACGGGGTTTCACCATGTTGACCAGGATGGTCTCGATCTCTTTTTTTTTTTTTTTTTTTTTTGAGACTGGAGTTTCGCTCTTGTTACCCAGGCTGGAGTGCAATGGCGCGATCTCGGCTCACCGCAACCTCCGCCTCCTGGGCTCAGGCAATTCTCCTGCCTCAGCCTCCTGAGTAGCTGGGATTACAGGCACGCGCCACCACGCCCAGCTAGTTTTTTGTATTTTTAGTAGAGACGGGGTTTCACCATGTTGACCAGGATGGTCTCGATCTTTCGACCTCGTGATCCACCCGCCTCGGCCTCCCAAAGTGCTGGGATTACAGGCTTGAGCCACCGCGCCCGGCCGAATGGTCTCGATCTCTTGACCTTGTGATCCACCTGCCTCGGCCTCCCAAAGTGCTGGGATTACAGGCTTCAGCCACCGCGCCCGGCAACAAACTTTTTTAAAAAATACAAAAATAGGTCGATGTGGTGTCACGCGCCTCTAGTCTCAGCTACTCAGGAGGCTGAGGCAGAAGTATCATTTGAGCTCAGAAGGTTGAGCTTGAAGTGAGCCAAGGTCACAGCACTGCACTCCAGCTTGGGTGGCAGAACGAGACTAAAAATATATATATACAGAAATAATGGCCGCGTGTAGTGAGACACGCCTATCATTCTGGCTCTTTGAGAGGCCAAAGTAGAAATCACTTCAGCCCAGGAGTTGAGGCTGCTGTAAACATTAAATCCTGCCAGTGTACTCCACAACTAAGCCACAGAGCAACACCTTCTATTTATTGTTTTCGAGATGAAGTCTCAGTCACCCAGGCTGCAGTGCAGTGGCACAATCTCAGCTTACTGTAACCTCCACCTCCCATGTTCAAGTGATTCTCCTGCCTCAGCCTCCTGAGTACGTGAGATTATTCCAAGCGTGTGCCAGCACACCCTGTTAATTTTTGTATTTTTGGTAGAGATGAGCTTTCAACATGTTGGCCTGGCTGGTCTTGAACTCCAGAGGACAAGTGATCCACCTGCGCTGACCACCCAAAGTGCTGGGATTACAGGTGTCAGCCATCGCACTCAAACTAACATCCTGTCTCTTTTTTTTTTTTTTTTTGAGACGGAGTTTCGCTCTTGTTACCCAGGCTGGAATGCAATGGCGCGATCTCGGCTCACCGCAACCTCCGCCTCCTGGGTTCAGGCAATTCTCCTGCCTCAGCCTCCTGAGTAGCTGGGATTACAGGCACGTGCCACCATGCCCAGCTAATTTTTTGTATTTTTAGTAGAGACGGGGTTTCACCATGTTGACCAGGATGGTCTCGATCTCTCGACCTCGTGATCCACCCGCCTCGGCCTCCCAAAGTGCTGGGATTACAAGCTTGAGCCACCGTGCCCGGCCTGTTTTTTATTTTTTAAGAGACAGGATGAGGCCGGGCGCGGTGGCTCAAGCTTGTAATCCCAGCACTTTGGGAGGCCGAGGCGGGTGGATCACGAGGTCGAGAGATCGAGACCATCCTGGTCAACATGGTGAAACCCCGTCTCTACTAAAAACACAAAAAATTAGCTGGGCATGGTGGCTCGTGCCTGTAATCCCAGCTACTCAGGAGGCTGAGGCAGGAGAATTGCCTGAACCCAGGAGCGGAGGTTGCGGTGAGCCGAGATCGCGCCATTGCACTCCAGCCTGGGTAACAAGAGCGAAACTCCGTCTCAGAAAAATAAATAAATAAAATGAAATAAAAAACAAAGTTTAGAGTCAGAGACGTGTTGATCTACTAGTGTGGCTTCCAATGCATTACCAAATCAGATACACAATATCTCCACTATTGGTCTCCTTTTCCAGAATTTACCAGATATCTGTGCACATGAACCCATGCTTTTCATATGTAGTTTCTCTGGTTCACAAACAGCTGATATCCAGATGTGGCCAATGAACAATCCAGCCTGCCCAGCAGCACTGACACCACAGGGCCCAACCCCCATGTCCATCCAGGTCTGGTGTCAGCCTTTTCCATGATTACGCCCAGTGGAGCCTCTTCCCGATTCATGTCACTGGGTCACAGGAGATAGAATCTCAGAGCAGACGACAGGAACTGAGGGAAGACATGGGTGAGTGTGAGCCAACAAGTCAGGCAGGATGCTTCAGGCTCAGAACACACTGGCTACTACAATACCTGGCATTTCAGAAAGGAGAGAGACAGATGAATCCACCGAGGAGTGTCACTTTACCTGAGGAAGAGCCATGCCTGGCTCCTTTTCTTGCCTCTTCTGAGCTGCTTCCTCACGTAATGTGAGCCTTTAGAAAATAATCCTGTATGTGAAAAATATAGGAGATTTCAGGTTAGCAACAACTCACTGCATTCTTGTCACAAACACACACGGGGGAGACCTCACCCTGTAGAAAGACGGGCCTCTGCTACTCACTGCACCAGAGATCATTCAGAGAGAAGAAAGCCTCACAGGAACACCTACAAGGGTATGTTTCACCCTGGTCTTCAGATCTCACTCCCCCCCTGGAGAAGCCCCACACCCCAGGCAGCAGTGGGGAGCTCGGCTGGACTGAGCTCCCCTTCAGGGCAGAGACCCTGCTCTGACCAAACCCCATTCAGAGAACAGCCCCTCCCCTCTCTGTGGATCACAGGCTGAGCTCAGCCTTCAGAAAAGGAGAACTCAGAGCCTTGACCCTCAGTGCTGCACACAGATTACTATCACCTGGGATACGAGGTATTTGTGTGTCACTTACCTGTGACCTGGAAGCCCCCTCCCTGCTTCAAGTCTTTTTGTCTTTGCTTCAAGGTTTCCCACCTGTCCAGACCAAACCAATGAACCTCTTCTGTATATTAACTGATGTCTCATGTCTCCATAAAATGTCTAAAATTAAGCTGTGCCACCACCACCTTGGGCACATGTCGCCAGGACTTCCTGAGGCTGTATCACAGGTCTGCCCTCAACCTTGGCAGAAGAATCTTTTTAAATTAAGTGAGATCTGTCTGAGGTTTTTCACAAAGGTTTCCACAGAGGTGATATCAGAACAAAGACCTAGGGAAGAAAGGCTGCTTGTCACTTGCAGCTGAGGGGCCTGAGTCCTAGGTGGACACAGCTCAAGTGAAGGCCCTGAGACAGCAGCAACCTCAGCCCCAGGAAAAGGAAAGCGCCCATGTGGCTGCAGCAGCAGGAGAGAGGACACAGTTAGAAGATGGGGTCAGAAAGGTCCTCTGGGCACAGATCTGTATGAACAAGGTCTTCAAACGTTTTTCTCCCACAACCCAAAAGAATTTTGGAAGTCGACTATTGTCACAGCTACTTGGGAGGCTGAGGCAGGAGATCGATTCAGTGAGCTCAGAATGCACAACAGCACTCCAGCCTGGGCGACAAGAGCAAAAGTCCATTTCAAAACAAAAGAAAGCAAAAAGGCCAGTGGCAGAGCTCAAGTCTGTTATCCAAGCACTTTGGGAAGCCAAGTCGGGTGAATCACCAGAGGTCAGGAGTTCCACTAAAACTACAAAATTAGCTTGTGGTGGTATGCACTTGTGATACCAGGTATTTGAGAGACTGAGGCAGGAGACTCATTTGAACCTCGGAGGCAGATGTTGCAGTGAGCTGACATAGCGGCACTGTATTCCATCCCGGGCAACGAACAAAAATCTTTTTTTTTCTTTTTTTTTTTTTGAGATGGCGTTTCGCTCTTGTTACCCAGGCTGGAGTGCAATGGCGCGATCTCGGCTCACCGCAACCTCCGCCTCCTGGGTTCAGGCAATTCTCCTGCCTCAGCCTCCTGAGTAGCTGGGATTACAGGCACGTACCACCATGCCCAGCTAATTTTTTGTATTTTTAGTAGAGATGGGGTTTCACCATGTTCACCAGGATGGTCTCGATCTCTCGACCTCGTGATCCACCCGCCTCGGCCTCCCAAAGTGCTGGGATTACAGGCTTGAGCCACTGTGCCTGGCCAAAACTCATTTTTAAAAAATAATTTATGTAGTGATGTATCTTCTCACTCCTTTCACGTATACATTTAATTTTCTCTTTATATTATAAATTAATTCCCATACTTAAAAAAGAGGATGTCAAGTTCAGCTAAGTCCCCGGAAGTACAGTCACTCTGATCTGAGACGTGGGGACTGCCAGGGAATATGGTTCGGGGTTTAGGAGTCACTTACCGACACATGAAGGTGGTGACGCCTGTGTGATGTTCTCACAGAAAGAAGAGACAAGTGGACACTGGATTGTAGTGCTCAGGGGAGAGGCCTGCAGGGGACGTGGAGCTGTATAGGTGGATGAAACCCATGAGATGAGAAGGTTCAAGGTGATTTGAGTCTAATCCCCCGTTTCAGTGCTTCTTGTGCCTCTTTTTTTTTTAAAAATTTTTGGAGGACTGGAATCCATTTATAATCTGGCTTAAAACTAAGCACTTAGCTGGGCGCGGTGGCTCAAGCCTGTAATCCTAGCACTTTGGGAGGCCGAGGCGGGCGGATCACGAGGTCGAGAGATCGAGACCATCCTGGTCAACAAGGTGAAACCTCGTCTCTACTAAAAATACAAAAAATTAGCTGGGCATGGTGGCACGTGCCTGTAATCCCAGCTACTCAGGAGGCTGAGGCAGGAGAATTGCCTGAACCCAGGAGGCGGAGGTTGCGGTGAGCCGAGACCGCGCCATTGCACTCCAGCCTGGGTGACGAGAGCGAAACTCCGTCTCAAAACAAACAAACAAACAAACAACAACAACAACAACAACAAAAACAAAAACAAAAACTAAGCACTAGCCAGGCACAGGGACTCAGGCCTGCAATTCCAACACTTTTGAAGGCTGATGTGGGTGAATCACAAGGTCGAGAGGTTGACACCATCTCAGCAAACTACTAAAAATACAAAAAATTAGCCAGGCATTCTGGTGGGTGACTACACTCTCAGCTACTTGGGAGGCTGAGAAAGGAGAACTGCTTGAACCCAGGACTGGAGGTTGTAGTGAGCTGAGATCACACCACTGCACTCCAGCCTGTGTGGCAGAGCAAGACTCTGTGCAAACAAAGAAAAGAAAAATATGAGCACTACCCTCTCCTAGCAAGGAAAAGCCACCCGACGTATTTTGTCCACCATTTCAGGGGCCAGTGTCACTCTGAGCTTTTCCGTTGTTCTTCCTTACTGCTCTGTTACAGGTGAACTCAGAGGCTCACTGCAGGAGACAGTTGACAAAATTCTCCTGAGAAGCTCTGAGGAGGGTAAGACGGAGGTGTGCCTGATTCCCATGTGATGGCCTGGAAGGGCCAATAGGCTGCCTTGGTCTTCCTCCTCTAGAAAATTCCAAGACCAGGCCGGCGCGGTGGCGCAAGCCTGTAATCCCAGCACTTTGGGAGGCCGAGGCGGGTGGATCACGAGGTCCAGAGATCGAGACCATCCTGGTCAACATGGTGAAACCCCGTCTCTACTAAAAATACAAAAAATTAGCTGGGCATGGTGGCGCGTGCCTGTAATCCCAGCTTCTCAGGAGGCTGAGGCAGGAGAATTGCCTGAACCCAGGAAGCGGAGGTTGCGGCCAGCCGAGATCGAGCCATTGCACTCCAGCCTGGGTAACAGGAGCAAACTTCAGTCTCAACGGGGAAAAAAAAAAAAAAAAAAAAGGAAAGGGAAACACTTGGGTTCGGGGTCTGGGGGCAGGGAATCTAAGGTGAACTTTCTAAAACTAGACCAAAAGAAAAACCCCATCTCCCCACACGGAGTAACAAAGGATCAAAGGCCACTCTCCCTGCAGCCCCGCCTTCCACCACCTCTCAGATGGAAAAGTAAAGAGCCCAGGAGTGGCCACAGCCAAGCACCGGCCACCCCTTCTGCATAGGGCACCCATCTGCTCTGGCCTCGGGCCAGTTCACCTCAGATTTTCATTGGCCAAAGACCAAATCTTTCTTCCAGATAAGGGGTAGACCCAGAGGAATTCAACAGAAACTATAACTCCCAAAACTCGGCACACGGGGCCCTAGAGACGCTCGCTTGGACCCACTCCCACCCAGTGAAGTGCTTCCTTGATTGAACAAATTCCTGCTTTTGCGGCTTTCTTCTTTTGTTACTTTGTGGGTTTTTTTCTTTGTTTCAATTCCATGTTCAACAGCCAAGAACCTGAACATCTCACACTCAAGGCTCCCTTCCCGTAAAACAGGAAGAAGATGGGGTAAGAGGACCTCCAGGAAGAGCACATTTTTCAAGGGTTGGAAATGGGGAGCAGCAGGGCCCGGCACGAGGAGGGAGGTTTGAGGGCGATGGTGCCTTAGGACGGGAGTGGGGTCTGCATGTTCCGAGGACCAGGCAGAAAACGAGCCTCCTCGGGACCAGGCTGCAGCGCTGCACTCAAAGGACCCACGACAGTGAGGCTGGGAGGCCCAGCATGGAAATCCAGCTGGCGGGTGAGGACATGAAACGGCGCGAGGCGAGCGAAGGGGAAAGGAAGGGTTTTCAGCAGGAAAATTCCCCTATAGGAAGTGTCTGCACGGCCCCACTGCAGAAAAACCGGTGAGGACGCGCCTCAGGGCGACTCACGCACTCTCACCCGGACGTCTCAATTTGCTCTGGGTTAACAGGGGATGGAATTTCCAGGTCTGTGGGGACCCCAAGTCCCCAATATAGCAGCACCAGATGCCTGGGAAGCGCAGACAGGAAAAGAAAGAGCAAAACTTACCCGCCGCCGTGGGACTTTCAGTGGACGCCATCCGCTTCCGGGTCCGGACCAATCAGCGCAGGACAGAAGCCAGACCGGGGCGGGACCCCCGAGGAGCTGGGCGGGGCCTGACCACGGCGGGGAGGGGACAAAAAGTGGTGGGTGGAGCCTGAGCGTGGCCGAGGCAGGGCGCTAAGGTGCAGCAGCGGGACTCGGGGGAGGAGATGCCTGTGCTGTGAGAAGTCCGGGGGACGCCGGGAAGGAGAAGGGGGCGGGGCCTGAGCTTCCCTCCATCTCGCTTTGGGCGCCTTTTTTCCGGGTTATGGGAAGGAAACCCGCCAGTGAGGCTGGAGCAGCTCAGCCGTCTGGGAAGTAGCACCTCCCTGAGAAGTCAAGGTGGAATCCAGGAAAATTCTTTGCTATTGAAATTAATTTTAGCCGGGCGTGGTGGCTCAAGCCTGTAATCCCAGCACTTTGGGAGGCCGAAGCGGGTGGATCACGAGGTCAAGATATCGAAACCATCCTGGTCAACGTGGTGAAACCCCGTAACTGCTAAAAATACAAAAAAATTAGCTGGGCATGGTGGCGCCTGCCTGTAATTCCAGCTACTCAGGAGGCTGAGGCAGAAGAATTGCCTGAACCCAGGAGGCAGAGGTTGCAGTGAGCCGAGATGGCGCCATTGCACTCCAGCCTGGGTAACAAGAGCGAAACTCCGTTTCAAAAAAAAAAAAAACAAAAAAGAGAAAAGAAATTAATTTTAGTTGGCCGTGCACGGTGGTGCATGCCTGCAATTTAGCACTCTGGGAGGCAGAGGCGGGCGAATCACGTGAGGTCAGGAGTTGGAAACCAACTTTGCGAGCATGGTGAAACTCCGTCTCTACTAAATATTCAAAAAAAAATTAGGCAAACGTAGTGTTACATGTCTCTAATCCCAGCTACTCGGGATGCTAAGGCGGGAAAATCCCCTGACCTTGGAAGGTGGAGGTTTTAGTTAGCTAACATAGCGCCACTGAACCCCAGCCTGGGCGACAGAGCGACTTGTCTCAACAACAACAAATTAGAAATAACTAAATATAGTGATTTCTCTATAGTGTAGATTTTGTGTTCAAAATAACACGTGATATTGATTATCTAGATCATGTAAAATACAGGAGCTGTGTACTCTCGGCTAAAGCTCAGCTGTGTGATGGCGACATCATCCAGGACAAGGCTGAAGTCCTCGGCCCTCAGGCATTGAACTTGGTCACCACACTCTTGACAGCCTCCTTGACAATGGATGGCAACACTGGTTCCTCATAGTCTAGCCCTAGGAGCTGGTACATGCAAGGAAGCTCCTGAGCACTGGATCAAGACAGCACTAGCAGGAAAATATTGACCATGTGCAGGTCTTTGGAGCCCGTGGGGAAGGAGATATTTTGAGATCTGACCCGAATGTCATAGATAATGGTGTCCTGGAACCAGAAAAGCCTGAAGTGAAGGACTTTGGCCAGGACAGTGTCCTGCTGCACTCCACGAATCCAACTGAAGAAGGTGGGCTCTCTGCCTACCTTCAACAGTGAACACAGATCTGTGGACACTGTACCCCATAGCACGGCCCCCAGCAGGAGCTTCAGTGTGCTGCCCATACCACATAGCATGACAGGTGGCCACCTACCAAGACCTTCAAGTTCTGGGTCATGTCTGATCTTGAGGCTGGCACCACCAGAGGTGAGAAGGGGGTGCCGGCCCACCTCTACCCCACTCCAGCTAAGGTACTGCACCCTTCACACAAGGGTTCAAGCCCATCATCAGGATGGTTTTTTTTCTTTTTTTTTTTGAGACGGAGTTTCGCTCGTTACCCAGGCTGGAGTGCAATGGCACAATCTCGGCTCACTGCAACCTCTGCCTCCTGGGTTCGGGCAATTCTCCTGCCTCAGCCTCCTGAGTAGCTGGGATTACAGGCATGCGCCACCATGCCCAGCTAATTTTTGTATTTTTAGTAGAGACGAGGTTTCGCCATGTTGACCAGGATGGTCTCGATCTCTTGACCTCGTGATCCACCCACCTCGGCCTCCCAAAGTGCTGGGATTACTGGCTTGAGCCACCGCACCCGGCCCAGGATGGTTCTTAAATAAGATCCCCAGTTAGCGAACATCTATACAATCAGGTGGCCACATCCCCTCCACACACTTCGCTGCTGAAGGGGAGCCTCCAGAAGGAAAGGAAAGTGGCTGAGGATGATTGTCTTCCTAACATGCAAGTTCCCACTTCCCACTTCCAGCATCCACCTTCCTGGCCTTGTCTTTGTTTCCCGGGAAAGTTGCCTGCTGACTCCTGGGTTTTATCCCAGAAAGCTCTGGATTTCTTGCTGCCCACAGAGGCCTGGGTCAGGAGAGTTACTACGATGCCATGGAGTGCACGTTTGGTCACTGGTAGTCTAGGCAGGTTGCCTCTTTTGGGGTTTGTGGTGATGGAAAGGAGGCCAAAAGGTGCACACCACGTCCCTGGGTGGCTGCAGACAGCTCCAGCCCACTCCTAGGAATCCTCCTCACCACGGTCATGTGCCTGAGGAACTGTGCCCAGAAAGTGGCCCGCTGCTTCTCTGTTGTTGCTTTTCCTATTCCTGCCTTTCCCTGTTACTCCTCGCATGTCTCAGGTAATAAGTAATTCCTTGTCTTCCCTATTCCCCTAGGAAAAGGGCTACAAACAGTCCATGTGAACTCCAACCTTATTAGCCTAAGGTGGGCAAAAAAGCACAAAGCAGCCTCAAGTGCAACGCTCTGGGGAAAAGCCCGCTAATTAGGGGCGCTCTCCCACAGCCATATGTTAAATGCTCAGTACGCTAAGGTACACAAGGTCTGCCAGCTGCTGTCATCTTCAAAAATCAACAAATACCAGTTTTCATCTGAATCCACTAGAGAATGGGACGATTTTGCTTTTCTTTCTTGGCCAGCAATCACTTCATCAATGATTTTGTTCTTTACCCAATCTTTTTTATTTTTATTTATTTTTTTTTTTGAGACGGAGTTTCGCTCTTGTTACCCAGGCTGGAGTGCAATGGCGCGATCTCGGCTCACCGCAACCTCCGCCTCCTGGGTTCAGGCAATTCTCCTGCCTCAGCCTCCTGAGTAGCTGGGATTACAGGCACGCGCCACCATGCCCAGCTAGTTTTTTGTATTTTTAGTAGAGACGGGGTTTCACCATATCGACCGGGATGGTCTCGAACTCTCGACCTCGTGATCCACCCGACTCGGCCTCCCAAAGTGCTAGGATTACAGGCTTGAGCCACCGCGCCCGGCTCTTTACCCAATCTTTACTGTAAGTATTCTTATTTTCAGACACTATCTCGCCCCGTCACCCACACTGAAGGGCAGTGGCATGATCACAGCTCACTGCAGCTCTGACCGCCCAGGCTCAAGCCATCCTCCCACCACAGACTCCACAGTAGCTGTGTCTGCAGCATGTGCCACCATGCCCAACTGTTTGTATTTCAGGTAGAGAAGGGGATTTCACCATGTTGCCCAGGCTGCCCTTGAATACCTGGGCTCACGTGACCCACATGTTTCAGCCTCTGAAAGTGCTGGGATTACAGGCCTGAGCCAGTGCATCTGCTCTCGTTGTAAATTTGATGTTTCTTCTTGTTTCAAGTTTAGCACAAATTGCACTGCTTTCACAGAGTCTCTTCTCAGACTCACAGATTTTCCTTCTGAGTGCCTCATAGTAGAGCCTGTTCAGACATGCTGTAACAAATTTATATCAGTTTAGGTGCCAAAGTGTGAAATTTAGGCACAATTGTCTCAATTTTTTTTTTTTTTTTTTTTTTTTTTTTTTTTTTTTTTAGTAGAGACAGGGCTTCTCCATGTTGGCCAGGATGTTCTTGATCTGCTGACCTCATGACCTGCCCGCCTCTGCCCTTCAAAGTGCTGACATTACAGAGGTGAGCCACCACGCCTGGCCATTACATATTTTTTATAAATTTCTTGAAGACCTCTTGTACTAAAAACCTGCATTTGAGAGGATATAAAAAGGATTGTGGATATTCAAGTGTCAGTGATTTCTGGGATGCAAGGATGGTTCAACATATTCAAGCAAATCAATGTGATACACCACTGGAACAGAATGGAAGATGAAAAACACATCAACTCAATAGATGGGAAAGAAGCAGTTCTCAAAATTCAACATCCAGTCATCATAGAAATTCTAAGCAAAAAAGACAGCGAAGAAAATTTCGCTCAATAATATAAAGACCATCCCGGCCGGGTGCAGTGGCTCAAGCCTGTAATCCCAGCACTTTGGGAGGCCGAGGCGGGTGGATCACAAGATCAAGAGATCGAGAACATCCTGGTCAACATGGTGAAACCCCGTCTCTACCAAAAAAAAATACAAAAAAATTAGCTGGGCATGGTGGCGCGTGCCTGTAATCCCAGCTACTCAGGAGGCTGAGGCAGGAGAATTGCCTGAACCCGGGAGGCGGAGGTTGCGGTGAGCCGAGATCGCGCCATTGCACTCCAGCCTGGGTAACAAGAGCGAAACTCCGTCTCAAAAAAAAAAAAAAAAAAAAAAGACCATTCCTTCAATGACCACAGCAGAGATAACCAATCAAAAAAAATGATGGAATGCATTTCCTGTAGAATCTCGCAGGATGCAAGAATGCTCTCACTCCTTCCTTTTAATAAATACTGTTGTCCTAGGCAGAGCAATTACATAGCGAAAGAAGTAAAACTCATCCAAATCAGAAATAAGTACAAATATATTTGTTTGGAGATGACATGATCTTCTCTGTAGAAAATTACAGAGTCAACCAAAATTCTACTGGAACTAAGAAACACATTCAGTGTATTTGCAGAATACACTAGCAGCACCGTATTCTGTTAGTTCAATTTTCTTACATCTACAATAAACAATTTTAAGAGAAAATTAAGGAAACATTTCCACTTGCTAGAGAACTTAAGAAATACTTAGGAATAAAGGTTAAAAGGTGAGAAGTTTCTACCCTGACATCTACACACACTGATCAAAATGATTAAAAACAGACACGCAACTCATGTTAATGGACTGGAAAAATACTGTGAAATGATTATATAAACGAACGTGATTTAGATTCAACACAATACCCATAAAACCCCGTAACAGTTTTTGTTAAATAAAAACAAAACAAAACAAAACAAAAAAAACAGGCTGGGAAAAGGGGATCACGTCTGTTGGACAGGCTGGTCCAAATCTCCTGACCTTAAGTGACCTAACCATCTTGGCCTCCCAAAGTGCTGGGATTACAGGCATGAGCCACCCTGCCTGGCTCTTCTTAACATAAACATTTTAATGTCAATTAATGCTTGAACTTAATGTTAAGTCAACTCAAACCCAAGTCGATGCTGAACTGACTCTAATTTCAATTAATTATTGATGGCTGCTTATTCAATGCATTTTGAACAATTATCTCCAGAATGAATTGTCTCATGTCCTGCAAGAAGTGACCATGGACTAAAGACCATGCCACACTTAGGACATTTTTAAGATTTCTGTCCAGTATGGATTCTCTGATGTCTAATGATGTGTGAATGTGAATCAAAGCTTTGCCACCATGATCACACTGGGGAGATTTCTCTCCTGTATAAATTCTCCTATGTTTTCCATAAGGTGAAGTATGACTGAAGACCTAGCCACAATCAAGACATTTGTAGGATTTCTCTCCAGCATGAGTTGGCCAATGAACTGAAAGGTATTAACGATGTTCAAAAAATCTGCCATATTTATCACACTTGTAAGATCTTTCCACGATGAATTCTCCAATAATTTGCAATGGTTGTAACATTACTGAAGACTTTGTAACAATCTTTACATTAATAAAGTTTCCCTATACCATGGATTGCTTGATGATGAATAAGTGTTGACCGTCCACTAAAGGCTTGGCCACACTCATTACCCGTGTAAGTTTTCTCTCTATTGTGAATTCTAGTTATGTTATGCCAGGTGTGAATCCTGCCTGAAAGCCTTGTCACAAATCTCAGGTGTCTATGGTTTCTCTTCAGTATGATTTACCCTGTGTCTTTCAAGGTGTGATTTGGGACTAAAAACCTTGTCACATTCTGCACATTTGTAAGGTTTCTCTCCAATATGAAGTCTATAATGATGAGCAAGATTTGATTTTTGATTAAAAACCTTGCCACATTCATTACACTTGTAAGGTTTCTCTCCAGTATGAATTCCCTTATGATTTAAGAGCTAAAGTTTGACTGACAGTCTTGCTACACTAATTAAACTTGTAAGGATTGTATCCAGTGTGAATTCTAGTATGTTTTGCCAGCTACGAATTACACATGAAAGCCTTGTCATAAACCTTACATTTGTAAGCTTTCTCTTCAGTGTGACTGCTCTTATGCATCTGAAGGTGTGACTTGGGAGTGAAAACTTTGTCACATTTTTTACATTTGTAAGGTTTCTCTGCAGTAGAAGGTCTTTGACGACGTGCAAGGGTTGCTTGTTGGTTAAAAACCTTGCCACATTCAGTACACCAGTAAGGTTTCTCTCCAGTATGAAGTCTGTGATGATGTGCACGTCTTGACGGTTGTTTAAACACCTTACCACCTTCGTTACACTTGTAAGGTTACTCTCCAGTATGAACTGCAAATGAACTGGAAGGGCTGAATTGCGACCAAAGGTTTTGCTACATTCATTACAAATGTCAGGTTTCTCTCCAGTATGAATTGCCCTATGAAGTTCAAGAGATGAATTGTGACTGAAGATCTTGCCACACTCATTACACTTGTGAGGTTTCTCTCCACTATAAAGTCTATAATGCCATAAAAGGGATGACGTGTGACAGAAGGTCTTGCCACACTCATTACACTTTTAAGGTTTCTCTCCAATATGGTTTTGCCAATTAACTGCAAGGTATGAACAATATCGAAAACACTTGTCACATTTACTACACGTGTAAGATCTTTCTACATTATGGATTCTCCAATGATTTGCAATAGTTGTAGCATTACTGAAGACTCCATGACAATCAATGAATTTGTAGTTTCTATACAATGAATTGCTTGATGTTGAGTAAGTGATGACTTTTGAACTAAAGGCTTTGCCACACTTACTACACTTGGAAGATTTCTCTCCAGTATGAAGTCTACAATGGGATGTAAGGGATGACATGTGACTGAAGGTCTTGCCACACTATTTACATTTGTAGGTTTTCTCTCCACTGTGAATTCTAGTATGTTGTGCCAGGTCTGAATTTTGACCAAAAGCCTTGTCACAAACTTTACATTTGTAAGGTTTCTCTCCTGTATGAAGTCTACGATGGCATGTAAGGGATGACTTTTTACTGAAAGTCTTGCCACACTCATTACACTTTTAAGGTTTCTCTCCAGTATGAAGTCTATGATGGCATGTAAGGGATGACAGCTGACTGAAGGTCTTGCCACACTCATTACACTTGTAAGGTTTCTCTCCAGTATGAAGTCTGTGATGACATATGAGGTATTCTTTGCGATTAAAAACCTTGCCACATTCATTACACTTGTATGGTTTCTCTCCAGTATGAATTGCCTCATGAATTACAAGTGATGAATTTCGACTAAAGGTCTTGCCACACTCATTACACTTGTAAGGTTTCTCTCCAGTGTGAATTCTAGTATGTCGTGTAAGGTGTGAATCTTGTCTGAAAGCCTTGTCACAAACCTTACATTTGTAAGGTTTTTCTCCAGTATGAAGTCTATGATGGCATGTAAGGGAAGACTTTTGACTGAAGGTCTTGCCACACTTATTACACTTGTACGGTTTCTCTCCAGTATGAATTACCTCATGAATTACAAGTGAAGAATTACTACTGAAGGTCTTGCCACACTCATTACATTTGAAAGGTTTCTCTCCAGTATGAACTCTGTGATGATATGTAAGGGATGACATTTGATGGAAGGTCTTTCCACACTCATTACATCTGTAAGGTTTCTCGCCAGTATGAAGTCTACGATGGCATGTAAGGGATGATTTTTGACTGAAGCTATTGCCACACTCATTACACTTGTAAGGTTTCTCTCCAGTATGAAGTCTATCGTGACATATGAGGTTTGATTTGCGATTAAAAACCTTGCCACATTCATTACACTTGTATGGTTTCTCTCCAGTATGAATTGCCTCATGAATTACAAGAGATGAATTTCGACTAAAGGTCTTGCCACATTCACTACACTTGTAAGGTTTCTCACCAGTGTGAATTCTAGTATGTCGTGTAAGTTGTGAATATTGTCTAAAAGCCTTGTCACAAACCTTACATTTGAAAGGTTTTTCTCCAGTATGAAGTCTATGATGGCGTGTAAGGGATGACTGAAGACGGAAGGTCTTGCCACATTCAATACACTTGTAAGGATTGTCTCCAGTGTGAATTCTAGTATGTTGTGCCAGGTGTGAATCACGCACAAAAGCCTTGTCACAAACCGTACATTTGTAAGGTTTCTCTCCTGTATGAAGTCTATGATGGTATGTAAGGTGTAACTTTCGACTGAAGGTCTTGCTACACTCATTGCATTTGTAAGGTGTCTCTCCAGTATGACGTCTATGATGGCGTGTAAGGGATGACTTTTGACTGAAGTTCTTGCCACACTCATGACACTTGTAAGGTTTCTCTCCAGTATGACGTCTATGATGGCATGTAAGAGATGACTTTTGACTGAAGTTCTTGCCACACTCATGACACTTGTAAGGTTTCTCTCCAGTATGAAGTCTACTATGGTATGTAAGAGATGACATTTTGTTGAAGGTCTTGCCACACTCTTTACACTTGTAATGTTTCTCTCCAGTATGAACTCTATGATGGAATGTAAGGGATGACTTTTGACTGAAGGTCTTGCTACACTCATGGCACTTGTAAGGTGTTTCTCCAGTATGAAGTCTATGATGGCATGTAAGGGATGACTTTTGACTGAAGGTCTTGCCACAATCATGACACTTGTAAGGTTTCTGTAAAGTATGAAGTCTACGATGGCAAGTAAGGGATGAAACCTGACTAAAGGTCTTGCCACACTCGTGACACTTGTAAGGTTTCTCTCCAGTATGAACTCTATGATGGCGTTGAAGCCATGACTTGTGACTGAAGGACTTGCCACAGTTATTACACTTGTAAGGTTTCTCACCAGTGTGACATCTGTGATGGCTTTCAACACATCGCTTCTCATTAAAGACCCTGCCACACACATCACATTCATATTGTTTGCTTCCTAAATGACTTATTTGATATTTCCTTAAGAATGAACTACAATTGAGGTTGCTGCTGTCTGAAAAAAGAAAAGAATAATAACAAAAATTAAAAATTAATTAAAAGAATGAGCTACAATTAAAGGCTTTCCCACTCTCATGACATTGCAAAGACTTTTCTCTCATGTGTACTACCTGTTTCTGTGTAAGTAATGAAGAATGGAGGAAATTACTGTCATGGTTATTAGAAATATGGGTTTTGCCTATACAAAAATATTATTTGGGATGTTGAAACTAAGGAAGCATCATTGACAGACTTCTCAACTTGATTACCAAGATTCCCTTCAGTCTGAAATATGTGGAGTTCAGGCAGATGTGAATGAAAGCTTAATCCAAGCTCATCTTTAGTAGGCTTGTTTCCAGCATGCCTTTCATCATATCGGTCTGTATTACCACTCAGCTTTTTAATTTCTGTCCTGGGTGCTTCATGGTTATTTCTTTCATCTTCTTGCCACTCAAACTGAAAGTTATGACTATGTTTCTCCATTTTCTGGAAGCAGAAATCTCCAATGTGATGACTGTCATCTCTTCTCAATGTCCCTGTGTAAAACCATTCTGTATTACCTTGCCCTGCTGATGAGAACTTCTTCCTTATGCATTTGGAAGAGACATCTACAAAACATAAACTCCATAGCTCCAGGCCAGGACTAGTGCTACTATATATAATAAAAAAGACATTAAAGAGCTTGTTGCCCTTTTTTTTTCCACTATGACAAAACAGGAAGAAGATGCTTGGGCTAAATTACAAAGAAGGCTCTCACCAGAAACCAATTTGACCGCACCTTGCTCTTGGATTTCTGACTTTCTAAATTCAAAAGAAATAAATCTGTGTCTTAAGCTTCCCAGTTTACGCTATTTTTTTGTTGTTGTTGTTTTGAGACCGAGTCATGCTCTATCACCCAGACTGGAGTGTAATGATGTGATTCTCCTGCCTAAGGAGATTCTCGCATAGCCGACTCCCAAGTAGGTAAGTGTACAGCCTGGCTAAGTGTGTGAGTTTGTATGTGTGTCACAGTCTCACTCTTTCATCCAGTCTGGACTTCAGTGGCATGATCTTGGCTCACTGCAACCTTTGCCTCCTGGGATCTAATAATATGTTGACCTCAGCCTCCCAAGTAGCGGGATTACACGTGCATGTCACCATGCCCAGCTAATTTCTGTACTTTTAGTAGAGATGGGGTTTGACCATGTCGGCAAGGCTGGTCTCAATCTCCTGACCACAGGTTATCTGTCCGTCTTGGCCTACCAAACCGCTGAGATTTTAGGTGTGAGCCAATGCACCCAGACAATTTTTTGTATCTAGTAGATTCGAGGTTTCAATGTGTTGGCCTGACTGGTCTCAATCTCCTGATCTGAAGCAACCCAACCATCTCAGCCTTGCAAAGTGCTGGGATTAGAGGCGTGAGCCACCATGGTCAGCCAGTCTAAGCTATTTCTGACATGAAAGCAAAATGACTGACACAAAAAAAGGGGCATCTCATCATCAGCATCACCCAAGGTTGAAAATTCTTATTAAAGAAAGAAAGTATAGTCTGGACTATAAAACTTTCAATATATGAAGACATCTAATTAACATGTTTTAAAATCCTGGAGACACCTGGCTGGGCGCGGTGGCTCAAGCCTGTAATCCCAGCACTTTGGGAGGCCGAGGCGGGTGGATCACGAGGTCAAGAGATCGAGACCATCCCGGTCAACATGGTGAAACCCCGTGTCTACTAAAAATACAAAAAATCAGCTGGGCATGGTGGCGCGTGCTTGTAATTCCAGCTACTCAGGAGGCTGAGGCAGGAGAATTGCCTGAACCCAGGAGGCGGAGGTTGCGGTGAGCTGAGATCGCGCCATTGCGCTCCAGCCTGGGTAACAAGAGCGAAACTCCGTCTCAAAAAAAAAAAAAAAAAAAAAAAAAAATCCTGGAGACAGCCAGCCATGGTGGCTCATGCCTGTAATCCCAACACTTTCAAATGCCGAGGTGGGTGGACCAGCTAAGATAGGCAGTTCAAAACCAGTGTGACCAACATGGAGAAACCACATCTCTACTACAAATACAAAATCAGTCAGGTGTGGTGGTGCATGCCTGTAATCCCAGCTACTTCAGAGCCTCAAGCATCGTAATTGATTGAATCTGGAAAGCGGAGATTGAAGTTAGCAGACATTGCGCAACTGCACTCCAACCTGGGCAACAATAGAAAACCTCCATCTCAAAAACAAAACAAAACAAAACAAAACAGAAAAAAAAAAACCTGGAGACAAACTATTACTTCTCAAATAAGGACAGCAGCCCCACACTATTCATTTACTGGACCCAATTTACACATTTGGTAAGTGAGGGACAAAACTTGATCCCACGACATGTTCTTGACCACAACAGTCACCCAGGCAGTACAGAAAATGACCAGTCAAAGAAAATACAAGGAGACAGGAAGAAATACATCAAAGTGGATACAAGGGCTGAGCTGTGGCACTGACAGTGATGCTGAGCCATCGCTCATGGAGAATGTGCTGAGTCATCATGCCCTGCACACACTGATTTAGGCAGCCTCCTATAATTACGTCCAGTGGACGTATAAGGTCTTGACTTACTCAGTGAGAGTCATATTGGAGGGGAGGGGCTCATGTGGAAACTGCGGTGTTCAACATTAGAAATCAACAGGCTGGAGAGCAGGAGCACTTTGCATCCAGATCATTGCAGCATGTGAGGCAAGGCCAGGAAAGGAAGGACAAGGGTGGAGGGCAGAAGTAATGGGCATGCAGGAGTCAAGTGTGTGCACGCTCGTCTGTCGGAATATAATCCCACCAGCATGGATCAAAATTTGAGCTTGGAGGGAAGTGGAACTAATTTAGCAAACGGTAAAATGTTGACCCAAGGATAATTACACAAATTACATTATGGGCAGATGACAAGAATAAAAGATCCAAAACAGCAGCAGTAGTGACCTGAGGTGAAGGCAGTTTTACGTCTCTTAAATTACACGGCCTCTGCTTTCAGTTTCAGGCATATAGTCAACAAAATTCCCATGTACATTGCAGCACTGTGTACACACAAGAAAAAACAAGTAAACTCTCTGAAATAGAGTACAGCAATGTAGGAGACTGTGGGGGTGAAGAGAAATCCCCTGGCTGAGTACCTACAGATGTGTTTGTGAAAACAGAGTCAGGCCAGTCATAATGTATTTCAGCCTGTAACCCCAGCACTTTGGGGGATTGAGGCAGAGTAGATCATGAGGTCAGCAGTTCGAGGACAGCCTGGCCAGGATGGGCAAACCCCATTTCTAGTACAAAAATACAAAACATTACCCGGGCATGGTGATGTGCACCTATAATTCCAGCTATTCAGGAGGCTGAGGTAGGAGAATTTCTAGAACCTTGAAAATGGAGGTTTCAGTGAGCTGAGATCGCGCCACTGCACTCCAGCCCGGGTGTCAGAGCAGGACTCGATCTCAAAAAAAAAAAAAAAAAAAAAAGAATAAAAAAAGAATAAAAAAGAAAGAAAGAAGCAGGGCCGGCTGGAGATTTTTGTATACTACGCATGTGATCAGTTACATTAGTGAAGAAAAGTAATGCGCTAACTAAAATGTTTGCCATATGAAAATTGAAGGGTAAATCTCATTCCTTATATAAAAACAATGGCGTCTCTTTTTCTGGATCCTATATTATTTGAAATCACATCTCTGGATTTTTTTTTTTTTTTTTTTTTTGAGACGGAGTTTCGCTCTTGTTACCCAGACTGGAGTGCAATGGCACGATCTCGGCTCACCGCAACCTCCGCCTCCTGGTCTCAGGCAATTCTCCTGCCTCAGCCTCCTAAGTTGCTGGGATTACAGGCACGCGCCACCATGCCCAGCTAGTTTTATTGTATTTTTAGTAGAGACGGGGTTTCACCATGTTGACCAGGATGGTCTCGATCTCTCGACCTCGTGATCCACCCGCCTCGGCCTCCCAAAGTGCTGGGATTACAGGCTTGAGCCACCGCGCCCGGCCACATCTCTGGATTTTATTTATTTTATTTTATTTTATTATTTTTTTTTTTTGAGACGGAGTTTCGCTCTTGTTACCCAGGCTGGAGTGCAATGGCGCAATCTCGGCTCACCGCAACCTCCGCCTCCTGGGTTCAGGCAATTCTCCTGCCTCAGCCTCCTGAGTAGCTGGGATTACAGGCACGCACCACCATGCCCAGCTATTTTTTTTGTATTTTTAGTACAGACGGGGTTTCACCATGTTGACCAAGATGGTCTCGATCTCTTGACCTTGTGATCCACCCGCCTCGGCCTCCCAAAGTGCTGGGATTACAGGCTTGAGCCAACGCGCCCGGCTCATCTCTGGATTTTAAACACAGTCTCTGGAATGAGAGATGAAAAGTGAAGGTGACAAAGAACCAAAGGCCAGGCCCTTATATCTTCATAAAGACATCAACTCAACCAAAATGTTTCATCAAAAATATGTTCATAGGCTGGGTGTGGTGGCTCACGCCTGTAATCTCAGTCTCAGTACTCTGAGAGGCAGAGGTGGGTGGATCACCTGAGGTCAGGAGTTTGAGACCAGCCTGGCCAACATAATAAAACTGTCTACTAATAATATAAAAATTTCCCGGGCATGGTATTCCATGCCTGTAATCCTAGCTATTTAGGAGGCTGAGGCGGGATCATCGCTTCAACCAGGGAGACAGAGTGAGCCGAGATTGCACCATTGCACTCCAGCCCGGGCAACAAGAGGAAAACTCCGTATCAAAAAAAAAAAAAAAAACAGGCTGGAAAAGGAAAATCACAACAGAAAATACAGAATCAGAAAACGCCAAGAAAGACAATGGCAGATTCCTCACGTCTGGAGGGACGTTTTCCTCACCCACAGACTCCAGGTTCCTGTAGTTCTCCAACATCACATTCCTGTATAAAGCCCTCTGCACAGGGGTCAGGCATTTCCACTCCGCCAAAGAGAATTCTATAGCCACATCCCTGAAGGTCAGGCGTTCCTAAAATGAAAAACACATTTCAACAAAACCTTATGGAGGAGTGAGTTAAAAGAATGAGAAAAAATGAGAAAAGAGAAATTAAATATCCATTTCATCAAAGACTGTTCTCACAAACCCACGAAAGGTTTTGAACTTTTTTTTTTCTATAGTTGCATTTTACTGCACTTTTTCATCAAACCTTTTTTTTTTTTTTTTTTTTTTTTGAGACGGAGTTTCGCTCTTGTTACCCAGGCTGGAGTGCAATGGCGCGATCTCGGCTCACCGCAACCTCCGCCTCCTGGGTTCAGGCAATTCTCCTGCCTCAGCCTCCTGAGTAGCTGGGATTACAGGGACGTGCCACCATGCCCAGCTAATTTTTTGTATTTTTAGTAGAGACGGGGTTTCACCATGTTGACCGGGGATGGTCTCGATCTCTTGACCTCCGTGATCCACCCACCTCGGCCTCCCAAAGTGCTGGGATTACAGGCATGAGCCACCGCACCCGGCCTTCTTTTAAGATGGAGTTTTGCTTTTGTTACTCAGGCTGGAGTACAATGGCGCGGTCTCAGCTCACTGCAACCTCCGCCTCCTGGGTTCAGGCAATTCTCCTGCCTCAGCCTCCTGAGTAGCTGTGATTATAGGCACACGCCACCATGCCCAGCTAATTTTTTGTATTTTTAGCAGAGACAGGGTTTCACCATGTTGACCAGGATGGTCTCGATCTCTTGACCTCGTGATCCAACCGCCTCAGTCTCCCAAAGTGTTCGGGTTACAGGCGTGAGCCACCGCGCCTGGCCTTCATCAAACATTTTAAGATCCCCTAAGTCACTGTGGAAGTCTTGATTTTATGGACAATTTGAAAACCATACAAATAAGAAAATGCTGGGCTGGGCACAGTGGCTCACACCTGCTACGCCAACACTTCTGGAAGCCAAGGCAGGCAGATCATTTGGTGTCAGGAGCTGGAGACCAGGCTGGCCAACATTGTAAAACCCTGTCTCTACTAAAAGTATAAAAATTAGTCGGGCGTGATGGCGGTGCCTGTAATCCCAGTTACGCAGGAGGCTAAGGCACAAGAATCACTTCAACCAGCAGACACAGGCTGCAGTGAGTCCAGATGACACCACTATACTCCACCATGGGTGACAGAGACTCCGTCTCAACAACAACAAAAAGCAAGGTTGGGTGCGGTGGCTCATGCATGTAATCCCAGCACTTTCAGAGTCCAAGGCCACCATATCACAAAACAAGGTGTTCAAGACAAGCCTGGCGAACATGGTGAAACCCCAACTCTACTAAAATTACAAAATTAGCCTGTGTATTGGCACATGCCTCTAATCCCAGCTACTCAGGAGGCTGAGGGTGAAGAATAGGTTGAATCCAGGAGGCAGAGGTGGCAGTGAGCTGAGATCACAACAAGGCACTTCAGTTTGGGTGACAGAGTGAGACTCACAAATAGAAAGAAAGAAAGAGAGCCGGGTGCGGTGGCTCAAGCCTGTAATCCCAGCACTTTGGGAGGCCGAGGCGGGTGGATCACGAGGTCAAGAGATCGAGACCATCTTGGTCAACAAGGAGAAACCCCGTCTCTACTAAAAATACAAAAAATTAGCTGGGCATGGTGGTGCGTGCCTGTAATCCCAGCTACTCAGGAGGCTGAGACAGGAGAATCGCCTGAACCTAGGAGGCGGAGGTTGCGGTGAGCCGAGATCGTGCCATTGCACTCCAGCCTGGGTAACAAGAGCGAAACTCCGTCTCAAAAAAAAAAAAAAAAAAAAGAAAGAAAGAAAGAAAGAGAGAAGAGAGAGAGAAATAAATACTGGCCGCATGTGGTAAACCACACGTATAATTCTAGCTCTTCGGGAGGCTAAAGTGGGGATCACTTGAGCACAGGAGTTTGAGGCTGCTGTAAACTCTGAATTCTGCCATTGTACTTCAGACGTAAGCCACAGAGTGACACCTCCTTTATTTATTTTTATTTATTTTTTTAGAGAAAGTCTTACTGTGTCATGCAGACTGGAGTAAAACTGCAGAATCTTGGGTTACTGTAACCTCCCCCTTCTAGGTTCAAGTGATTCTCCTGCCTCAACTTTCTTAGTAGGTGAGATTATAGACATGCACCACCACACCCAGCTAATTTTTGTACTTTTAGTAGAAATGGGATTTCATCATGTTGGCCTGGCTGGTCATGAACTCCTGAGTTCAAGTGATCCACCCACCTCTGCCTCCCTATGTCCTGGGATTACAGGCCTGAGCCACCACACCCAAACCAAGACCCTGTCTCTTAAAAAGATTTCGATGATCCTGAAAGATTAGCTTCTCTTGGTAACAAATAGAAAAGAGTTTGGAGTCAAAGGCATGTTGACCTACTACTGTGGCTTTCAATGCATTACCAAATCAGAAAGAAAGTATCTCCCCTTATTGGTCTCCTTTTCCAGAATTCACCAGACATCTGTGCACATTAATCTATGTGTTTCATATGTGGTTTCTCTGATCTGGTCATGAAGAGCTGATATGCAGATGATGCTCCTAAACCATCCAGGCTACCCAGCAGCACTGACACCATGGGGCTCACAGCCCGTGTCCACCCAGGTCTGGATGTCAGCCCTTCCCATGACCATGCCCAGTGGAGCCTCTTCCCAGGTTCATGTCACTGGGTCACAGGAGATGGAATCTCAGAGCAGATGACAGGAACTGAGGGAAGGCGTGGGTGAGTACAAGCCAACGTGTCAAGCAGGACGCTTCAGAGTCAGAACAGACTGGCTACTACAATACCTGGCATTTCAGAAAGGAAAGAGACAGATGAATCCACCGAGGAGTGTCACTTTACCTGAGGAAGAGACATCCCTGGCTCCTTTTCTCTCCTCGTCTGAACTGCTTCCTCCTGTAACAGGAGTATTTAGAAATTAATCCTGTACATTAAAAAGAATATGAGACTTACTGTTAGAAATGATTCACTCCCTTCTCATGCCAAACACACACAAACACACACACACACACACACACGGGAGACCTCACTCTGTACAAAGATGGGCCTCTGCTGCCCACTGCACCAGAGATCATGCAGAGAGAAGAAAATCCCACAGGAACACCTACAAGTGTATGTTTCACCCTGGTCTTGAGATCTCACTCCCCTCCTGGAGAAGCCCCACACACCAGGCAGCAGTGGGGAGCTGGGCTCGACTGAGCTCCCCTTCAGGGCACAGACCCAGCCCTGACCAAACCCCATCCACAGCACAGTCCCTCCCCTCTCTGTGGATCACAGGCTCAGCTCAGCCCTCAAAAACAGAGGGCACAGACCCTTGACCCTCAGTGCTGCTCACAGATTACTATCACCTGGGACACTGTAGGTATTTGTGCCTCACTTTTCTGAAACCTGGAAGATCTCTCTGTGCTTCAAGTCTTTCTGCCTTTGCTTCAAGTTTTCCTGCCTTTCCAGACCAAACCGATGTACTTCTTACATATATTGGTATCTCATGTCTCCCTAAAATGTGTAAAATTAAGCTGCACCCCGATCACCATGAGCACATGTCGTCACGATAAGGCTCAAGGTGATTTGGGTCTCATCCCGTTTTTGCCCTCCTTGTGCTTTTTCTTTTTTAATTTTTGGAGGACTCGAATGTGTTTACAATTTGAGCTAAAACTGAGCACTGGCCGGGCGTGGTGGCTCACGCTGGTAATCCAAGCACTTTGGAGGCCAATGTGGGCGGATCAGCTGAGGTCGGGAGTTCAAGACCAGCCTGACCAATATAGTGAAACCCTGTTTTTATAAAAATAAAATAAAATAAATTAAAATAAATAAAAGAAAGAAAGAAAAGAAAAAAGAGGCCGGGCGCGGTGGCTCAAGCCTGTAATCCCAGCACTTTCGGAGGCTGAGGCGGGTGGATCACGAGGTCAAGAGATCGAGACATCCTGGCCAACATGGTGAAACCCCATCTCTACTAAAAATACAAAACATTAGCTGGGCATGGTGGCGCGTGCCTGTAATCCCAGCTAGTCACGAGGTTGAGACAGAATTGTCTGAATCCAGGAGGCGGAGGTTGCGGTGAGCCGAGATGGCGTCATTGCACTCCAGCTTGGGTAACGAGCGAAACTCCGTCTCAAAAAAACAAAAACAAAAACAAAAACAAAAAATAAACTGGGCATAGTGGCTCATGCCTGCAACCTCAGCACTATGTTAGGTCTATGTGTCTGGATCGCTTCAGCCCTGGAGTTGGAGAACAGCCTGGGAAACATAATGAAAGCCCGTCTCTACCAAGAACACAAAAATTAGCTCGGTGTGGTGGTACCCATCTGTGGTTGCAGCTACTCTGGAGACTGAGGTCAGAGGAGCTCTTGAGCACAGGTTGACACTGCAGTGAGCTGAGATTCTGTCACAGCTCTTTCGCCTGGGTAACAGAGTGACACCCATCTCCAATAAAAATGAGAAAAAGGAAACACCCGGGTCCTGGGTCTGGGGGCAGGGAATCTAAGGCCAATTAACACGAACTTTCCAGATCTATCTAGACCAAAAGGGAAAAACCCCATCTTCCCAAGCAGAGTAACAAAAATTCAAAGGCTACTCTCCCTACAGCCTCCCCCTTCCACCAAGTCTCCCATGGAAAGGGAAAGAGCCCAGGAGTGGCCACGGCCAAGCAGCTGCATAGGGGACCCGTTTATTCTGGCCTCGAGACAATTCACCTCAGCATTTCATTGGCCAAGGGCCACATCTTTTATCTAAATAAGGGGTAGCCCATAGGACTTCAAAAGAAAGACTTTAACCGTCCAAAACTTTATAAATGGGGCCCTGGAGAGGCTCCCTAGGGCCCACTCCCACGCAGTGGAATGCTTTCTTAACTGAATTAATTAATGCTTTCCGCTTTCGCCGCTTCACCCCTTTGTTATTTTGTGTTTTTTTGTTTTGTTTTTCTTTTTTTTTGTCTACGTTCAACAGCCACGAACCTGCACATCTCATGCTCAAGTCTGACTTCCGGTAAAACGGGGCGAGGATGGGGTAAAAGGGCTGCCTCCAGCAAGAGCACGTTTTCCAGGGGTTGTAACAGGGGAGCAGCAGGGCCCGACTGGAGGAGGAGGTGGGGAAGGGCAGCGCCTTCGGAAGGGGTGGGGTCTGCAAGATCCCAGGACTGGGCCGACGACGCGCCTCCCCGGGACTGGGGCTGCACGCTGCGCTCCAGGGCCCCCCAAGAGCGAGGCTGAGAGACGCCCACGGCGGGAATCCGAATCGCGGCTGAGGACTTGAACCAGCGCAAGACGGAAGGAGGGGACGGGAACGGTTCTGAGCATGAAAATTCCGCCGCAGGCGTCTGCAAGGCCCGTTACAGAGAGAACGGGGACGGGACCCGCCTCAGGACGACTGCAACCTCAAAAGGAAGCCACTCACGGACTCTCAAACGGCCGTCTCAGTTTGCTCTGGGTTGACAAAGAGGGGCTGGAATATCCAGGTCTGTGGGGACTCCACGTCCCCAGTACAGAAGCGCCAGAGACCTGGGAAGCGCAGACAGAAGAAACAGAGCAAAATTTACGCACCACGGTGTGACCCTCAGTCCACGCCATCCACTTCCGGGCCTGTGCCAATCAGCGCAGGACAGAGGCCAGGCCTCAGCCGGACACACAACGTGGGCGGGGCCAGGCCGGACCGGAACTGACGGAAGAGGGCGGGGCCCGAAGGACGAGGGGCGGGGCGCAGGGTAGAAGAGGCTTTGGCTGTGAGGGGTGCCAGGGGGCGGCACGGGGGCGGGGCTTGAACTTCCCTCCATCTGACTCTCAGCACCTTTTTTCCGGGTTTTGATGGCAAAACCCGCCAGTGAAGCTGGAAGAGCTCAGTAGTCTGGGAAATGGCACCTCACTGAGAAGTGAACCTTGAGGAGTAATTGCATCCAGAAAAATTCATTGCTGTTTTTTAAATAGTTTATGTTCTGGGGTACGGGCGCAGTTCATGCAAGGTTGTTGCAGAGGTGCATAAATAACCAGGCGGTTTGCTTGCCTCTATTCTCCCTTCACCTATAGCCGGGATTTTCCCCTATGTTATCCCTCCCCAACCTCCCCATCCCCGAGTTCCTTGCCATTGAAATTAATTTTCATTGGCCAGACACGGTGGTTAACGCCTGTAATCCCAGCACTTTGGGAGGCTGGGCTGGGCGAAATCACCTGAGGTCAGAAGTTCGAGACCAGGTTTGCCAACATGGTGAAACCCCGTCTCTGCTAAATATACAGAAAGCTAGGTGGGCATATGTAGTGTCATTTACCTCTAATACTGCTACTCGGGAGGCTGAGGCAGGAGAATAGCGTGAACCCAGAAGGCAGAAATCGCAGTTAGCTGAGATTACACCACTGCACCCCAGCCTGCGTGACAGAGCTACTCTTTAAAAAAAAAAAAAATTGTCGGGCGCGGTGGCTCAAGCCTGTAATCCCAGCACTTTGGGAGGCCGAGGCGGGTGGATCACGAGGTCAAGAGATCGAGACCATCCTGGTCAACATGGTGAAACCCCGTCTCTACTAAAAATACAAAAAATTAGCTGGGCATGGTGGCACGTGCCTGTAATCCCAGCTACTCAGGAGGCTGAGGCAGGAGAATTGCCTGAGCCCAGGAGGCGGAGGTTGCGGTGAGCCGAGATCGCACCATTGCACTCCAGCCTGGGTAACAAGAGCGAAACTCCGTCTCAAAAAAAAAAAAAAAAAAAAAAAAAAAAAAAAGAAAGAAAAGAAACAGGTTTTGGCCGGGCGTGGTGGCTCATGCCTGTAATCCCAGCACTTTGAGAGGCCGAGGCGGGTGGATCACGAGGTCAAGAGATCGAGACCATCCTGGTCAACATAGTAAAATCCCGTCTCTACTAAAAATACAAAAACTTAGCTGGGCATGGTGGCGTGTGCCTGTAATCCCAGCTACTCAGGAGGCTGAGGCAGGAGAATTACCTGAACCCAGGAGGCGGAGGTTGCAGCGAGCCGAGATCACGCCATTGCACTCCAGCCTGGGTGACAAGAGCAAAACTCCCTCTCAAAAAAAAAAGAAAAAAAGAAACGAGTTTTATTTTTGGTCACTTTTAATATCATTAATTTTTCTTTTTTTTTTCCTTTTTATTTCTTGAGACAGAGTTCAGCTCTTTAATTCAGGCTGGAGTGGAGGGGTGTGATCTCGGCTCACTGCAACCTCTGTCTCCTAGGTCCCAGTTTAAGTAATTCTCCTGCCTCAGCCTCCTGACTACCTGGAATTACAGGCACACACCACCATGCCCGCTAATTTTTGTATTTTTAGTACAGACAGGTTCCCACCATGTTGGCCAGGCATGTCTTGAACTCCTGAACTCTTGATCCACCCACCTCAGCCACCCAAAGTGCTGGGATTAAAGGTGTGAGACATCAGGCCCGGCCTTATCTTTAGCCATTTCGGTATTTTATGTGTTATGTACCTGGGTATAATCCCTCTAAACATATACAAAAAGCCACAAATAGCTTATCTTCTCATAAAAGGATGCCAGCATTGTGTCTAATTATCAAAAAATAATCCTGCTATTCTTTTCCTACCATTAAGCAAAATATAATTTCGTACCCTCTCAGTGTGTAATTCTAATTAGCAAATAGCAATAGCTAACTTTATTCATAATATCGGCTTTCATTTCCCAGCCTCTAAGCTTCTAAACTTTTTACAAACTATGCCTGTGAAATTTGTGTCTATTGTTATCTCAAAACCCTTGCTTCAGGCCGCTACTGTGTTTACAAATGGTTCAAAACTACAACAAAAACCAGCTAGCGTTACAAAATGCCATGCAAAATTAGCAACACAAAATCCAAAACCATTTTAAAACTATGCAACAAGCCGAGTGCCCTAATAATTGCCTTACAAACGTTTCCTCACGAACATAGTAATTCTGCTTATGCAGTATATAGTATTACTCATTTAAATCTTGCACAGGTAGGCGCGGTGGCTCACGCCTGTAATCTCAGCACTTTGGGAGGCCGAGGCAGGTGGATTACGAGGTCAAGAGATCGAGACCATCCTGGTCAACATGGTGAAACCCCGTTTCTACTAAAAATACAAAAAATTAGCTTGGCATGGTGGCACGTGCCCGTAATCCCAGCTACTCAGGAGGCTGAGGCAGGAGGATTGCCTGAACCCAGGAGGCGGAGGTTGCGGTGAGCCGAGATTGTGCCATTGCACTCCAGCCTGGGTAACAAGAGCGAAACTCCGTCTCAAAAGATAAATAAATAAATCTTGCACATGTTGGCCAGGTAGGGTGGCTAACGCCTGTAATCCTAGCACTGTGGGAATCCAAGGTGGGCAGATCATGAGGTCAAGAGATTAAGACCATCCTGTCCAACATGGTGAAACCCTGTCTCTCCTAAAACTACAAAAATTATCTGGTCATGGTGGCAGGTACTTGTAGGCCCAACTACTCAGAAGGCTGAGGCAGGAGAATTGCTTGAACTAGGGAGGCAGGGGTTGCAGTGAACTGAGACTGCACCATGCACTCTTGGCTGGTGACAGAGGGAGACTCCGCCTCAATGAAAAAAAAATCAAAATTTTGCATATGTTGTTCCTGGAATTTCTCCTCACAAGAAACCAAAACGGCACTCAGAGTGTCAGAGGACCACAGTTTATTACACCAGCGGGCCCAGACAGGTGAGCACCCAAAAGTCCGGACCGGGCCTGAGTTGGTACACAGTTCTTATAGGTTAGGGGCAAGGGGAGTAACTCACGGTTTTCAGGCAATGTAGCAATTGTGCAGGGGGCTGTTTCGCTCGTAAGCAGGAAGCAGACGTACAGAAGCACAAAAGCAGATAAGGAGGCGGAGGCAGCTACTTTAGACACTTAGGAAACGTTCCTCACGGGCCTTTCCCACACCCTTCCATCTCATCCACCCCTTCGATGCTCTTTATGTTACATGTGGAGCATCACCTTTTACAAATCAACATCTGTGCTCAGGGGCTTGTACCCCCAAAAAGGCTAGCAACTGGGCAGTTGTCTGACAACCGTGGCTTCCGTGAAGCACTGGAGTATGTTAGTTATGCACGCACCAAAGGTAAGGGCCAGGAAGATTACTAGTAAAGGCCCAAGGAGGGCAAGAGCCCAGTGGATCCAGGTTCCGAGCCCTGGGAAGCTCCAGCTGCTGACTGTGCGTCGCCTTTCAATGCGGTCCCTTAGCTCTTTAACTTCCTGTTACTACTCCTGACTGACTGACACAGTAGCAACAGCCTTCCTGCAGAAGAGGCAGGTAACTCCCTTCTGAGCCGGAAGCCCAAGGCTCTGCAATTTTGTAGGACTACTTTGGATAGGGAATTTAACTGGTTCTGGAGGGAGGCTAGGGAATTGGCCATGTCATTGAGTTCCCAGGACAGTTTATGACAGAAATGGGCTGCAGTGCTGATGCCTCCTATGCCGGTGCCTATCCTGGCTGCTGTGCCAGTTCCTACTAAGAGGGGAAGTAACACAGCTCATTTGGACCAGTAGTAGTGAGGATTTAGAACCATTTTAATATCTTGGTCCATGGAAACTGAGATTTCTGGGGTTAGGAATGCCTGGATACACACTCCCCTCCAGTTTCCACCTAAACAGACATTTGTCTACCTGCTGCAGAGGAAGAAGATGCTGGGGATGGCACACTGGGGTCTTCACATTGGAGAGGGCGATAGTTGTTGCACAAGGCAGGCATGAGAGGTTGTCAATTACAGGTGATGAACTACTACTGACGGTCGTGGACACTCATTACAGTTGTAAGGATAGTCTCCAGTGTGAATCCTAGTATTTTGTGCCAGGTATGAATCACGCTAGAAAGCCTTGTCACAAAGCTTACATTTCTAAGTTCTCTCCAGTATGAAGTCTACTATGGCCGGGCACGGTGGCTCAAGCCTGTAATCCCAGCACTTTCGGAGGCCGAGGCGGGTGGATCACAAGGTCGAGAGATCGAGACCAACCTGGTCAACATGGTGAAACCCCGCCTCTACTAAAAATACAAAAAAAATTAGCTGGGCATGGTGGCGCGTGCCTATAATCCCAGCTACTCAGGAGGCTGAGGCAGGAGAATTGCCTGAACCCAGGAGGCGGAGGTTGCGGTGAGCCGAGATTGCGCCATTGCACTCCAGCCTGGGTAACAAGAGCGAAACTCCGTCTCAAAAAAAAAAAAAAAAAAAAAAAAAGAAGTCTACTATGGTATGTAAGGTGTGACTTTCAAACGAAGGTCTTGCCACACTCATTACACTTCTAAGGTTTCCCTCCAGTATGAAGTCTACGATGGTATACAAGAGATGACATCTGACGGAAGGTCTTGCCACACTCATGACACTTATAAGGTGTCTCTCCAGTGTGAAGTCTACGATGGCACGTAAGGGATACCATATGACCGAAGGTCTTTCCACACTCATTACACTTGTAAGGTCTCTCTCCAGTGTGAATTCTAGCATGTCTTGCCAGGTATAAATTACATGCAAAAGCCTTATCACAAACCGTACATTTGTATGGTTTCTCTCCAGTATGTATTATCTTATGGATTTCAAGGTGTGATTTGCGAGTGAAACCTTTGTCACACTTTTCACATTTGTAAGGTGTCTCTCCAGTATGAACTTTACGATGGCATGTAAGGGATGACTTCTGATTGAAGGTCTTGCCACACTCATGACACTTGTAAGGTTTCTCTCCAGCATGAAGTCTAAGATGACATGTAAGGGATGACATCTGACTGAAGGTCTTGCCACACTCATTACAGTTGTAAGTTTTCTCTCTTATATGAACTTGACGATGGCGTAGAACGCATGACTTATGACTGAAGGTCTTGCCACACTCATTACACCTGTAAGGTTTTTCTTCAGTATGAAGTCTACAATGGCATGTAAGAGATGACATTTCATGGTAGGTCTTGCCACACTCATTATACTTGCAAGGTTTCTCTCCACAATGAAATCTACGATGGCACGAAAGGGATGACTTTCGACTAAAGGTCTTGGGACACTCCTGACACTTGTAAGGTTTCTCTCCAGTATGAAGTCTATCATGGCATGTAAGGGATGATGTATGACTGAAGGTCTTGCCACACTCTTTACACTTGTAAGGTTTCTCTCCAGTGTGAATTCTAGCATGTTTTGCCAGGTATGACTTACATGCAAAAGCTTTATCACAAACCATACATCTGTATGGTTTCTCTCCAGTATGAAGTCTACAATGACGTGTAAGGGATGACGTATCACTGAACGGCTTGCCACACTCATTACACTTGTAAGGTTTCTCTCCAGTATGAACTCTGCGATGGCGTAGAATGCATGACATGTGACTGAAGGTCTTGCCACACTCATTACACTTGTAAGGTTTCTCACCAGTGTGACATCTATGATGGCTTTCCAGATTCCGCTTCTCATTAAAGACCCTGCCACACACATCACATTCATATTGTTTTCTTCCTAAATGGTTTATCTGTTTCCTTAAGAATGAGCTACAACTGAGGTTACCGTTGGCTGAAAAGAAAAAAAAAAATCAATAAAAAATAAATGGAAAGAATGAGTTACAATTAAAGCCTTTCCCACTCTCATGACATTGGAAAGATTTTTCTCTCATGTGAACTTCCTGTTTCTGTGTAAGTAATGAAGAATGGAGGAAATTACTGTCATGGTTATTAGAAAAATGGGTTTTGGGGCCGGGCGCGGTGGCTCAAGCCTGTAATCCCAGCACTTTGGGAGGCCGAGGCAGGTGGATCACGAGGTCGAGAGATCGAGACCATCCTGGTCAACATGGTGAAACCCCGTCTCTACTAAAAATACAAAAAACTAGCTGGGCGTGGTGGTGCGTGCCTGTAATCCCAGCTACTTAGGAGGCTGAGGCAGAAGAATTGCCTGAGCCTGGGAGGCGGAGGTTGCGGTGAGCCGAGATCACGCCATTGCACTCCAGCCTGGGCAACAAGAGCGAAACTCCGTCTCAAAAAAAAAGAAAAAAAGAAAAATGGGTTTTGGCTATACAAAAAATTATTTGGGATGTTGAAACTAAGGAAGCATCATCAACAGACTTCTCAACTTGATTACCAACATTCCCTGCAGTCTGAAATATGTGAAGTTTAGGAAGATGGGAATGAAAGATTACTCCAAGTTCTTCTTTAACAGGCTTGTTTCCAGCATGCCTTTCATCATGTTGGTCTGTACTACCACTCAGCATTTTTATTTTTGTCCTTGGTGCTTCATGGTTATTTCTTTCATCTTCCTGCCACTGAAACTCAAAGTCATGAATATTTTTCTCAATTTTCTGAAAGGAAAAACCCCAATATGATGACTTGCATCTCTTTCCAATGTCCCTGTGTGGAACAGTTCCTGTATTGCCTTGCCCTGTTGATGAGAACTTCTTCGTTATGCATTTGGAAGGGACGTCTACAAAATATAAACTCCACGGCTCCTGGAGAGGACTAGTGCTTTTATTAAAAAAGACATTAAAGAGCTTGTTGCCTGTTCCTCTTTCCACCAGGACAAAACACAGCAGGAAGACGCTTGGGCTAAATCACAAAGAAGACTCTCACCAGAAACCAATTTGACTGCACGTTGCTCTTGGATTTCTCACTTTCTAAATTCAGAATAAATAAATCTTTGTGTCTTAAGCTTCCCAGTTTAACCGTTTTTTGTTTGTTTGGAGACTGAGTCATGCTCTGTCACGCAGACTGGAGTGTAATGGTATGATTCTCCTGCCTAAAGAGCTTTTCCTGCTGGAGACTCCCAAGTAGCTGGGACTACAGACTGGCTGAGAGAGAGAGAGAGAGAGAGAGAGAGGGAGGGAGAGAGAGAGAGAGAAAGAGAGAGAGAGAGAGAGGGAGAGAAAGAGAGAGAGAGAGAGAGAGAGAGAGAATCTGTGCGCGTGCCTGCGCAAGTAGCTGAGACTAAAGCCTAAGTGTGTATGGGTGTGTGTGTGTGTATCAGACTCTAACTCCATCATCCAGGCTGGAGTACAGTGGTGTGATCTAGGCTCACTGCAACCTTCACCTCCTGGGATCCAATAATTCTTTGGCCTCAGCCTACCGAGTACCTCAGATTACAAGTGCATGCCACCACACCAAGCTAATTTGTGTAGTTTTAGTAGGAAGGGGGTTTGACCATGTTGGCAAGGCTGGTCTCAAACTCCTGACCACAGGTTATCTGCCCATCTTGGTCTACCAAAAAACTGGGATTACAGGTGTGAGCCAACATACCCAGTCAATTTTTTGTATTTAGTAGATTCAAGGTTTTAGCATGTTGGTCCAACTGGACTCAAACTTGACCTGAAGTAATCCAAGCTTCGAGGCCTTCCAAAGTGCTGGGAACAGAGGCATGAGCCATTACAGCCAGCCAGTCAAACCTATTTCTGACATGACAGTGAAATGACTGAGATAGAGAATTGGGCATCTCATCATCAACATCATCGAAGGCTGACAAATCTTATGAAACAAAGAAACTTTAGAATCTGTACTATAAAACTTTCATTATGTGAAGACATGTAATTCACTTGTTTTTAAAACCTGGAGGCAGCCAGGCGTCCTGGTTCACACCTGTAATCCCAACACTTTGAAAGGCCCAGGAGGGTGGATCGCCTGAGGTCGGGAGTTGAAAACCAGCCTGCCCAACATGGACAAGCCACATCTCTACTAAAAATGCAAAATCAGCCAGGTGTGGTAGCACAGGCCTGTAATCCCAACTACTTGGAAGCCTCAGGCATGAGAATTGATTGAACCGCGGGGGCGGAGATTGCAGTGAGCAAAGATTGTGCCACTGCACTCCAGCCTGGGCAACAACAGGAAAACTCTATCTCAAAAAGAACGTGGAGACAAACTACTGCTTATCAAATAAGGACAGCAGGCCCACAGTATTCATGTACTTGACCCAATTTATACATTCGGTAACTAAGGGACAAAACTTGACCCTGGGCCTGAAGGATCCCATGACACATTCTTAAGCACAACAGTCACCCAGGCAGTACAGAAAATGACCAGTCACGGAAAATACAAGACAGAAAGAAAGACATCAAGGCAGATACAAGGGCTGAGCTGTGCCATGGACAGTGATGCTGAGCCACCTGTCATGAAGAATGTGCTGAGTCATCATGCCCAGCACACACTGATTCAGGCAGCCTCCTATAATTACGTCCAATGGATGTATAAGGTCCTGACTTACTCAATGAGAGTCATATTGGAGGGAAGGGATTCCTGTGGAAATTGGGGTGTTCACCATTAGAAATCAACAGGCTGAGGGCCGGGCGCGGTGGCTCAAGCCTGTAATCCCAGCACTTTGGGAGGCCAAGGCGGGTGGATCACGAGGTCAAGAGATCGAGACCATCCTGGTCAACATGGTGAAACCCCGTCTCTACTAAAAGTAAAAAAAAATTAGCTGGGAATGGTGGCACGCACCTGTAATCCCAGCTACTCAGGAGGCTAAGACAGGAGAATTGCCTGAACCCAGGAGGTGGAGGTTGCGGTGAGCCGAGATCGCGCCATTGCACTCCAGCCTGGGTAACAAGAACGAAACTCCGCCGGGCGCGGTGGCTCAAGCCTGTAATCCCAGCACTTTGGGAGGCCGAGGTGGGTGGATCATGAGGTCAAGAGATCGAGACCATCCTGGTCAACATGGTGAAACCCCGTCTCTACTAAAAATACAAAAAATTAGCTGGGCGTGGTGGCGCGTGCCTGTAATCCCAGCTACTCAGGAGGCTGAGGCAGGAGAATTGCCTGAACCCAGGAGGCGGAGGTTGCGGTGAGCTGAGATTGCGCCATTGCACTCCAGCCTGGGTAACAAGAGCGAAACTCTGTCTCATAAAAAAAAAAAAGAACGAAACTCCGTCGCAAAACAAAAAAAAAAAAAAGAAATCAACAGGCTGGAGAGCAGCAGCACTTTGCATCCAGATCATTGTAGCATGTGAGGCAAGGTCAGGAAAGGAAGGACAACAGTGGGGGCAGAAGTAATGGGCATGCAGGAGTGAACTGTGTGCACGCTCGTCTGTCGGAATATAATCCCACCAGCATAGACCAAATTTTGAGCTTGGAGGGAAGTGGAACTAATTTAGCAAATGGTAAAATGTTGACCCAAGGATCAATATACAAATTACAATATAGACGGGAACAAGAATGAAAGAGAGCCAAAAAAGCAGCAGTATCGTGACATGAGGGGAAGGCAGTTTTACATCTCTGAAGTTAAACGGCCTCTGATTTCCAGTTTCAGGCCTACACACAACAAAATCCCCATGTAGATTCCAGACTTCCATACACACATGAAAAAATGAGTAAACTCCATGAAATAGAGTACAGCAATGTAGGATACTGCGGGGGTCAAGAATGATCCCCTGGCTGAGTAGGTAGAGATGTGTTTGTGAAAACCGGTCCAGGCCAGTCGCGGTCTATTCCAGCCTGTAATCCCAGCACTTCAGGTGGTCAAGGCAGGTAGATAATGAGATCTGGAGTTTGAGACCAGCCTGGCTAGGATTGTCAAATCCCATTTCTAGTACAAAAATATAAAATATTAGCCAGGTGTGGTAGCGTGTGCCTGTAATCTCAGCTGTTCAGGAGGGTGAGGCAGGAGAATTTCTGGAACCTGAAAAGCAGAGGTTTCAGTGAGCCAAAATCATGCCACTGGACTGCATCCTGGGTGTCAGAGCGAGACTCCATCTCAAAAAAAAAGAAAGAAAGAAAGAAGCGGAGCCCAAAGGAGATTGTTGACTATACATGTGATCAGTTATATTAGTGAAGAAAACAGTAATGCGCTGAGTAAAATGTTTGCCATATGAAAATCGAAGGGTCAGCTGGGCGCGGTGGCTCAAGCCTGTAATCCCAGCACTTTGGGAGGCTGAGGCGGGTGGATCACAAGGTCAAGAGATCGAGACCATCCCGGTCAACATGGTGAAACCCCGTCTCTACTAAAAATACAATAAATTAGCTGGGCATGGTGGCGCGTGCCTGTAATCCCAGCTACTCAGGAGGCTGAGGCAGGAGAATTGCCTGAACCCAGGAGGCGGAGGTTGCGGTGAGCCGAGATTGCGCCATTGCACTCCAGCCTGGGTAACAAGGTAACAAGAGTGAAACTCCGTCTCAAAAAAAAAAAAAAAGAAAATCGAAGGGTCTCGTTCCTTATATAAAAACAATGGTGTCTCATTTCCTGGATTATTTGAAATCGTATTTCTAGATTTTAAACACAGTCTCTGGAATAAATGAGAGACGAAAAGTGGAAGTGACAGACTAGCAAAGACCAGGCCCTCACATCCTCATAAAAACATACAGTCAACCAAATGTTTCATCAAAAATATGTTCATAGGCCAGGCATGGTGGCTCAGGCCTGTAATTCCAGTACTTTGAGAGGCAGAGGTTGATGGATCACCTGAGGTCAGGAGTTTGAGACCAGCCTGGCCAACATAACGAAACCCTGTCTCTACTAAAAACACAAAAATTAGCCGTGTGGCCCGGTGCAATCGCTCTCGCCTGTAATCCCAGCACTTTGCGAGGCTCTGGGGGGTAGATCACGAGGTGAAGAGATTGAGACCAACCTGGCCAACATGGTGAAACCACATTTCTACTAAAAATACAAAAATTAGGCAGGCGCGGTGGCTCAAGCCTGTAATCCCAGCACTTTGGGAGGCCGAGGCGGGTGGATCACGAGGTCAAGAGATCGAGACCATCCTGGTCAACATGGTGAAACCCCGTCTCTACTAAAAATACAAAAAATTAGCTGGGCATGGTGGCGTGTGCCTGTAATCCCAGCTACAAGGGAGGCTGAGGCAGGAGAATTGCTTGAACCCAGGAGGCGGAGGTTGCGGTGAGCCGAGATCGTGCCATTGCACTCCAGCCTGGGTAACAAGAGCGAAACTCCGTCTCAAAAAAAAAAAAAAAAAAAAAAAAAAAAAAAAATTAGCTGGGCATGGTGGCGAGTACCTGTAGTCCCAGCTACTTGGGAGGCTGAGGCATGAGAATTTCTTGAATCTGGGAGGCGGAGGTTGCACCACTGCACTCCAGCCTGGTCAGGAAGAGCAAAACTACATCTCACACACACACACACGCAAAAATGTATAGGGCAAAATCACAACAGAGAGTACAAAACCAGAAAAACCCAAGAAAGACAATGGCAGGTTCCTCATGTCTGGAGGGACACTTTCCTCACCCACAGACTCCAGGTTCCTGTAGTTCTCCAACATCACTTCCCGGTATAAAGCCCTCTGTGCGGGGGTCAGGCATTTCCACTCCGCCAAAGAGAATTCTATGGCCACATCCCAGAAAGTCAGGTGTCCCTAAAACGAAAAACACATTTCAACAAAACATTATGGAGGAGTGAGTTATCACCTTCACACAAAATGAGAAAGAGAAATTACCCATTTTATCAGACTGTGTTGTGACAAAGCTAAGGTAAGGTGTTTTTGAATATTTTGTCTCATAGTTGCATTTTACTGCACTTTTTTTTTTTTTTTTTTTTTTGAGATGGAGTTTCGCTCTTGTTACCCAGGCTGGAGTGCAATGGCGCGATCTCGGCTCACCGCAACCTCCGCCTCCTGGGTTCAAGCAATTCTCCTGCCTCAGCCTCCAGAGTAGCTGGGATTATAGGCACGCGCCACCATGCCCAGCTAATTTTTTTTGTATTTTTAGTAGAGACGGGGTTTCACCATGTTGACCAGGTTGGTCTCGATCTCTCGACCTTGTGATCCACCCACCTCGACCTCCCAAAGTGCTGGGATTACAGGCTTGAGCCACCGCGCCCGGCCTTTACTGCACTTTTTAAGGACAGATTTTAAGATCCCCTAAGTCACTGTGGAAGTCTTGATTTTATGGACAATATTGTAGGGCTGAGGACCCCAAAGGGTCGTGGGTTGTCCCTTATGTTGTGCTGAAGAGCAAGATCCGAGAAATAAAGAGACAGGACACAGAAGTACAAGGAAAATGCAGCTGGGCTCAGGGCGGCGACGCCACTTATAAGCAGAGTCAGGCGAGGCCCGAAACATCCAGAAGCGTGTTTATTTATCGTGTATACGTTAGGCGGCAGGGCAGTGAGTGAAATCATCTTTGAGGATAGTGATAGGGTTTTGAGAAATAAAACAAGGGGTCCACCCGCATTAGGGCACCCAGGCTAGGAGGTGGACAGTGCACAGCAAGGGGTCCGTTCCCATTAGGTCATGGAGGCAAGCGCCGTGTGCAATAAGGGGTCCACCCCCATTAGGTCACCAAGGCATGGAGGTGGGCCGTGTGCAGTGAAGAGGGTGCAGTGTGCAATACCTCTATCTATGGGCATGCTACTTCTAAGATTTATAGGAGGATGCTTTAAGTCACACAGTGGTGACAGAGCTGTAAGGGTCTACCGCCACCAGCTGGCAGCTTCCAATGAGTTCTATAGGAAGATGCTTTTGAGCAGCACAGTAACAAGAGCTGATAAAGCTCACAGTCACCAAGGTGCAACTGCCGGTCTGAGGGCAGCCTTCCACAAGAACTGGAGCAAGGTCCTACAACTCCTTTATCAGGAGGAGTGGCTCTCGCCCCAAGCCTGCCATACAGCGGGTATCTTTATGATACTGAACCCTGCCCCTGGGCCATGGATTCTTGTGTTGGTATAACTGATTTTCCCTTAAATCATGCTCTGTACTGTGTCTACTCCAGACATTCCTCTGAGTATAAGTTTATTCCTTAATTTATGCTCTGTACTGTGTCTATTCTAGGCATTCTTCTGATTGTCAACTAAAACATATTTACATAGGGAAGTAACTAATTGGTTAAGATATTCTTTAGGCACTCAATGTTTGAACTAGCAGATGATAATACACAGATGATATATAAAGGAAATTAACTGAGTAGTGACATTATAAATTAAGATATTCTTCAAGTCCTAATTCTATAAACTATTACACAATTATATAAAGGATTATATAAACAAAAATAACTGAGTAGTAATGCTATAAACTGAGATATTGATCAGGCCTCAATTGTGCCAGGATTCTGCTTAGCTCTCCTTCCACAGTACCTATATGGGAGGTTACTCACAAATATGAAAAATATACAAAGAGGAAGAAAACATAAAGCTGGGCTCACGTGTGTAAACCCAGAACTTCGGGAGGCCAAGGCGAGCAGATCATGAGATCAGGAGTTCGAGATCACTGTGGCCAACATGGCGAAACCTAGTCTCTATCAAAAACACAAAATAAATAAAATTAAAAAAAAATACAAAAATAGGCCGATGTGGTGGCACCTGCCTGTAGTCTCAGCTACTCAGGAGGCTGAGGCAGAAGTACCACTTGAGCCCAGAAGGTGGAGCTTGAAGTGAGCCAAGGTCACAGCACTGCACTCCAGCTTGGGTGGCAGAGCGAGACTAAAAAAATATATATACAGAAATACTGGCCGTGTGTGGTGAGACACGCCTATCAGTCTGGCTCTTTGAGAGGCCAAAGTAGAAATCACTTGAGCCCAGAAGTTGAGGCTGCTGTAAACAGTGAATCCTGCCAGTGTACTCCACAGCTAAGCCACAGAGCAACACCTTCTGTTTATTGTTTTCGAGATGAAGTCTCAGTCACCCAGGCTGCAGTGCAGTGGCACAATCTCAGCTTACTGTAACCTCCACCTCCCATGTTCAAGTGATTCTCCTGCCTCAGCCTGCTGAGTACCTGAGATTACTACAAGCGTGCCCCAGCACACCCTGTTAATTTTTGTATTTTTAGAAGAGATGGGGTTTCACCATGTTGGCCTGGCTGGTCTTGAACTCCAGAGCCCAAGTGATCCACTTGCCCTGACCACCCAAAGTGCTGGGATTATAGGTGTCAGCCATCGCACTCAAACTTACAACCTGTCTCTTAAAAAATAAAAAACAAAGTTTAGAGTCAGAGACATGTTGATCTACTAGTGTGGCTTCCAATGCATTACCAAATCAGATACAAAATATCTCCACTTATTCGTATCCTTTTCCAGAATTTACCAGATAACTGTGCACATTAACCCATGTATTTCATAAGTAGTTTCTCTGGTTCAAAAAGAGCTGATATGCAGATGTGGCCAATGAACAATCCAGCCTGCCCAGCAGCACTGATACCGGGGGGCCCAACCCCTATGTCCATCCAGATCTGGTGTCAGCCCTTCCCATGACGATGCCCAGTGGAGCCTCTTCCCAGGTTCATGCCACTAGGTCACAGAATATGGAATCTCAGAGCAGATAACAGGAACTCAGGGAAGGCATGGGTCAGTGCAAGCCAACGTGTCAGGCAGGTCTCTTCAGACTCTGAACAGACTGGCTACTACAATACCTGGCATTTCAGAAAGGAAAGAGACAGATGAATCCACCGAGGAGTGTCACTTTACCTGAGGAAGAGCCATGCCTGGCTCCTTTTCTTGCCTCTTCTGAGCTGCTTCCTCACGTAATGTGAGCCTTTAGAAATCAACCCTGTATGTGAAAAATACAGGAGATTTAAGGTTAGCAACAACTCACTCCTTTCTGTGAAAAACACACATCGGGGAGACGTCACCCTATAGAAAGACGGGCATTTGCTACTCACTGCACCAGAGACCATGTAGTGAGAAGGCAGTCCCACAGGAACACCTACAAGTGTGTGTTTCACCCTGGTCTTCAGATCTCACTCCCCTCCTGGAGAAGCCCCACACCCCAGGCAGCAGTGGGGAGCTCGGCTGGACTGAGCTCCCCTTCAGGGCACAGACCCTGCTCTGACCAAACCCCATTCAGAGCACAGCCCCTCCCCTCTCTGTGGATCACAGGCTCAGCTCAGTCCTCAGAACTGGGGGACACAGAGCCTTGACCCTCAGTGCTGCTGACAGAAACTCAGTCTCTACTAAAAATACAAAATTAGCTTGTGGTGGTATGCACCTGTAATATTAGTTATTTGAGAGACTGAGGCAGGAGACTCATTTGAACCCCGGAGGGAGAGGTTGCAGTGAGCTGACATAGCAGCACTGCACTCCATCCTGGGCAACGAGCAAAACTCATTTAAAAAAAATAATAATTTAGGTAGTGATGTATCTTCTCACTCCTTTCATGTATACATTTAATTTTCTCTTTATATTATAAATTATTTCCCATATTTAAAAAACATGCTGTCAAGTTCAGCTAAGTCCCCGGAAGCAGTCACCCTCATCTGAGATGTGAGGACTGTTAGGGCATGTGTTTCGGGGTTTAGGAGTCACTTATGGACACATGAAGGTGGCGACACCTGTGTGATGTCCCCACACAGACAGGAGGGGACAAGTGGACACAGGATTGTAGTGCTCAGGGGAGAGGCCTGCAGGGGACATGGAGCTGTATAAGTGGATGAAAGCCTTGAGATGAGAAGGTTCAAGGTGATTTGAGTCTAATCCCCTGTTTCAGTGCTTTTTGTGCATCTTTTTTTTTTTTTTTTAAATTTTTGGAGGACTGGAATCCATTTATAATCTGACTTAAAACTAAGCACTAGCCAGGCACCGGGGCTCAGGCCTATAATTCCAACACTTTAAAAGCCTGATGTGGGTGAATCACAAGGTCGAGAGGTTGACACCATCTCAGCAAACTACTAAAAATAGAAAAAATTAGCCAGGCATTCTGGTGGGTGACTACACTCTCAGCTACTTGGGAGGCTGAGAAAGGAGAACTGCTTGAACCCAGGACTGGAGGTTGTAGTGAGCTGAGATCACACCACTGCACTCCAGCCTGTGTGGCAGAGCAAGACTCTGCAAACAAAGAGGAAAAGAAAAATATGAGCACTACCCTCTCCTAGCAAGGAAAAGCCACCCGACGTATTTTGTCAGTCATTTCAGGGGTCAGTGTCACTCTGAGCTTTTCCGTTGTTCTTCCTTACTGCTCTGTTACAGGTGAACTCACTGAGGCTCACTGCAGGAGACAGTTGACAAAATTCTCCTGAGAAGCTCTGAGGAGGGTAAGACGGAGGTGTGCCTGATTCCCATGTGATGGCCTGGAAGGGCCAATAGGCTGCCTTGGTCTTCCTCCTCTAGAAAATTCCAAGACCAGCTAGGCGTAGTGGCTCTCCCCTATAATCCCAACACTTTGGCAAGTTGAGGCAGGCAGCGCACTTGAGTCCAGTAGTTTGAGACTAATCTGAGCAACATGGTGAAACCCCTTCTCTATCAAAAACACACAAAAGTAGCAAGACTTCAAGGCGCAGATTTGTGGTCCCAGCTACTTGCGAACCTGAGAAAAGGTGACTTAAGCCAGGGAGGCAGAGGTTGCAGTGATCCCAGAGTGTGCCACTGCATTTTGACAGAGTGACACTCTACCTCAAAAAAAAAAAAAAAAAGAAAGAAAGAAAGAAAAAAGAAAAAGAAAAGAGTTGGGCGCGGTGGCTCAAGCCTGTAATCCCTGCACTTTGGGAGGCCGAGATCGAGACCATCCTGGTCAACTGGTGAAACCCCGTCTCTACTAAAAATACAAAAAAAATTAGTTGGGCATGGTGGCACGTGCCTGTAATCCCAGCTACTCAGGAGGCTGAGGCAGGAGAATTGCCTGAGCCCAGGAGGCGGAGGTTGCGGTGAGCCGAGATCGCACCATTGCACTCCAGCCTGGGTAACAAGAGCGAAACTCCGTCTCAAAAAATAAAAAAAAAAATAAAAAATAAATAAATAAAAAATAAAAAGAAAAAAAGAAAAAGAAAATAAAGAAAAAAAAATAATAATGGTCATTTTCCTCTAAAGAATTCCAGGACTGGTCATGTGGTGGCTCACGCCTGTAATCCCAGCACTTAGGGAGGCCAAAGGAAGCAGAAAAGTTCAACTCCGGAGTCTGAGACCAACCTGGGCAACACGGTGAAAGCCGGTTTCTACTAAAAATACAAAAATTAGCTGGGCATGGTGGCACGCACCTCAAGTCTCAGCTAATCAGGAGGCTGAGGACTGTAAACCCAGCACTTTGTGAGGCTGATGCAGCTGGAGCTGGAGATCAGCCTGGGGAAGATGGCGAAAGCCCATCTCTACCAAGAACACAAAAATTAGCGCCGCGGCGTGGTGGCGCTTATCGATGGTCGCAGCTACTCCAGAAGCTGAGGTGAGAAGATTCCTTGAGCGCAGGAGGTTGACGCTGTAGTGAGCTGTGATCCTGTCCCCGCTCTCCCGCCCGGCTAACAGAGTGAGACTCATCTCCAATAAAAAAGAAGAGAAGCGGCCCGGCGAGGTGGCTCAGGCCAGTAATCCAAGCACTTTGGAGGCCAAGGCGGGCGGATCACCTGAGGTCAGGAGTTCTAGACCAGCCTGACCAACACAGTGAAACCCTATCTTAAAAAAAAAAAAAAAAAGAAGAAGAAAGGGGAAACACTTGGGTTCGGGGTCTGGGGACAGGGAATCTAAGGTTAATTAACGCAAACTTTCCAAAACTAGACCAAAAGAAAAACCCGATCACCCCACACGGAGTAACAAAGGATCAAAGGCCACTCTCCCTGCAGCCCCGCCTTCCACCACCTCTCAGATGGAAAAGTAAAGAGCCCAGGAGTGGCCACGGCCAAGCACCGGCCACCCCGTCTGCATAGGGCACCCATCTGCTCTGGCCTTGGGTCAGTTCACCTCAGATTTTCATTGGCCAATCTTTCTTCCAGATAAGGGGTAGACCCAGAGGAATTCAACAGAAACATTCACTCCCAAAAATTTACAAACGGGGCCCGAGAGACGCTCGCTTGGACCCACTCCCACCCAGTGAAGTGCTTCCTTGATTGAACAAATTCCTGCTTTTGCGGCTTTCTTCTTTTGTTACTTTGTGGGTTTTTTTCTTTGTTTCAATTCCATGTTCAACAGCCAAGAGCCTGAACATCTCACACTCAAGGCTCCCTTCCCGTAAAACAGGAAGAAGATGGGGTAAGAGGACCTCCAGGAAGGGCACATTTTTCAAGGGTTGGAAATGGGGAGCAGCAGGGCCCGGCACGAGGAGGGAGGTTTGAGGGCGATGGTGCCTTAGGACGGGAGTGGGGTCTGCATGTTCCGAGGACCAGGCAGAAAACGAGCCTCCTCGGGACCAGGCTGCAGCGCTGCACTTAAAGGACCCACGACAGTGAGGCTGGGAGGCCCAGCATGGAAATCCAGCTGGCGGGTGAGGACATGAAACGGCGCGAGGCGAGCGAAGGGGAAAGGAAGGGTTTTCAGCAGGAAAATTCCCCTATAGGAAGTGTCTGCACGGCCCCACTGCAGAAAAACCGGTGAGGACGCGCCTCAGGGCGACTCACGCACTCTCACCCGGACGTCTCAATTTGCTCTGGGTTAACAGGGGATGGAATTTCCAGGTCTGTGGGGACCCCAAGTCCCCAATATAGCAGCACCAGATGCCTGGGAAGCGCAGACAGAAAAAGAAAGAGCAAAACTTACCCGCCGCCGTGGGACTTTCAGTGGACGCCATCCGCTTCCGGGCCCGGACCAATCAGCGTAGGACAGAAGCCAGACCGGGGCGGGACCCCCGAGGAGCTGGGCGGGGCCTGACCACGGCGGGGAGGGGACAAAAAGTGGTGGGTGGAGCCTGGGCGTGGCCGAGGCAGGGCGCTAAGGTGCAGCAGCGGGACTCGGGGGAGGAGAGGCCTGTGCTGTGAGAAGTCCGGGGGACGCGGGAAAGGAGAAGGGGGCGGGGCCTGAGCTTCCCTCCATCTCGCTCTGGGCGCCTTTTTTCCGGGTTATGGGAAGGAAACCCGCCAGTGAGGCTGGAGCAGCTCAGCCGTCTGGGAAGTAGCACCTCCCTGAGAAGTCAAGGTGGAATCCAGGAAAATTCTTTGCTATTGAAATTAATTTTAGTTGGTCGTGCGTGGTGGTGCATGCCTTCAGTTAGCACTCTGGGAGGCAGAGGCAGGCCACTCACCTGAGGTCAGGAGTTCGAAACCAACTTTGCCAACATGGTGAAACCCTGTCTCTACTAAATATACAAAAAAAATTAGGCGAGCGTACTGTTACGTGTCTGTAATCCCAGCTACTCGGAATGCTGAGGCAGGAAAATCACCTGACCTGGAAGGTCGAGGTTGTAGTTACCTAACATAGCGCCACTGATCCCCAACCTGGGCGACAGAGGGACTTGTCTAAACAAATTAGAAATAACTAAATAGTGTTTTCTCTATAGAGTAGATTTTATGTTCAAAATAACAGGTGATATTCATTATCTAGATGAGGTAAAATACAGCAGCTGTGTACTCTCAGCTACAGCCCAGCTCAGTGATGGCCCTCAGGCATTGAACTTGGTCACCACACTCTTGACAACCTCTTTGACAATGGACCAACACTCGTTCCTCATGGTCCAGCACTAGGAGCTGGTACATGCGAAGAAGCTCCTGAGAACTGGGTCAAGACAGCACGAGCAGGAAGATATTGACTATCTGCAGGTCTTTGGAGCCCGTGGGGAAGGAGTTATTTTGAGATCTGACCCGAATGTCATAGATAATGGTGTCCTGGAACCAGAAAAGCCTGAAGTGAAGGACTTTAGCCAGGAGTGTCCTGCTGCACTCCACGAATCCGACTGAAGAAGGTGGGCTCTCTGCCTACCTTCAACAGTGAACACAGATCTGTGGACACTGTAGCCCATAGCGCGGCCCCCAGCAGGAGCTTCAGTGTGGTGCCCATACCCCATGGCATGACAGGTGGCCACCTACCAAGACCTTCAAGTTCTGGGTCATGTCTGATCTTGAGGCTGGCAGCACCAGAGGTGAGAAGGGGGTGCCGGCCCACCTCTACCCCACTCCAGCTAAAGTACTGCACCCTTCACACAAGGGTTCAAGCCTGTCATAATCAGGATGGTTCTTAAATAATACTGCCAGTTAGCAAACATCTATACAATTGGGTGGTCACATCCTGTTGACACATTTTGCTGCTGGAGGGGAGCCTCCAGGAGGGAAGGAAAGTGGCTCAGGATGATTGTCTTCCTAATATGTAAGTTCTTACTTCCCACTTCCAGCATCCACCTTCCCGGCCTTGTCTTTCTGTTTCCCGGGAGTATAAGGGAACGTTGCCTGCTGACTCCTGGGTTTTATCCCCAAAAGCTCTGGCTTTCTTGCTACCCACAGATGTCTGGGCCAGTAGAGTTGCTAAGAGGCAATGGAGTGCCCATTTGGTCACTGGTAGTCTGGGCAGCTTGGCCCTTTTTGGGTTTCTGGTAACAGAGGAAGGGCCAAAAGGTGCACACCACGTCCCTGGGTGGCTGCAGGCAGCTCCAGCCCACTCCTAGGAATCCTCCTCACCACGGTCATGTGCCTGAGGAACTGTGCCCAGAAAGTGGCCCGCTGCTTCTGTGTTGTGACTTTTCCTACTCCTGCCCTTCCCTGTTACTCCTCACATGTTTCAGTTAATAAGGAATTCCTTGTCTTGCTAGGAAAAGGGCTACAAACAGTCCATGTGAACTCCAACCTTATTAGCCTAAGGCGGGCAAGGAAGCACAAAGCAGCCTCAAGTGCAACGCTCTGGGGAAAAGCCCGCTAATTAGGGGCGCTCTTCCACAGCTGTATGTTAAATGCTCCGTATGCGAAGGTACACAAGGTCTGCCAGCTGCTGTCGTCTTCAAAAATAAACCAATACCAGTTTTCATCTGCATCCACTAGGGAATGGGACGATTTTCCTTTTCTTTCTTGGCCAGGAATCACTTCATCATGAAAGTCTTGTGAGAAGACATGGTAAGAAGCAGAATCAAGCACACACCACGATGGCAGAGGAATGAGGAGAAGGGGCTTCCCATCTTTTTTCTTCTTTCGGAGTTCTCTTATTGCCCTGAATAAAGTGCAATGGCGTCGTCTTGGCTAACTGCGACATCCTCCTCAGGGTTTAAGTGATTCTCCTGCCTCAGTCTCCCGAGTAGCTGGGATTCCAGGCACCCACTACCATGCCGGGCTGGTATTTCTATTTTTAGTAGAGAAGAGGTTTCACCATGTTAACCAGACTGTCTCAAACTCCTATTGTTTCTGCTGTTAGCTGGCAGTCCTCTTCATTCGGCAGGAACAAGATTAATTTGTTTTCTCTAACACTGATGTGGATGATCTGCCTGCCAGTCTGCATCACTTCAAACATTGTCTTCTCCCAACTCAAAGTTAGTTATCCTTTTACACACTGCTGATTTCTTTTGGCCAACGTCCCCATAAACTTTTCATACAGCATCAATGATTTTGTTCTTTACCCAATCTTTACTGTAAGTATTCTTATTTTCAGACACTATCTCGCCCCGTCACCCACACTGAAGGGCAGTGGCATGATCACAGCTCACTGCAGCCCTGACCGCCCGGGCTCAAGCCATCCTCCCACCACAGACTCCACAGTAGCTGTGTCTGCAGCATGTGCCACCATGCCCAACTGTTTGTATTTCAGGTAGAGAAGGGGATTTCACCATGTTGCCCAGGCTGCCCTTGAATACCTGGGCTCACGTGACCCACGTTTCAGCCTCTGAAAGTGCTGGGATTACAGGCCTCAGCCAGTGCATCTGCTCTCGTTGTGAATTTGATGTTTCTTCTTGTTTCAAATTTAGCACAAATTGCACTGCTTTGACAGAGTCTCCTCTCAAACTCATGTCTTATCCTTCTGAGTGGCTCAAAGTAGAGCGTGTTTAGACATGCTGTAACAAATTTCTATCAGTTTAGGTGCTAAAGTGTGAAATTTAGGCACAATTTTCTCATATATATATATATATTTTTAGTAGAGACAGGGCTTCTCCGTGTTGGCCAGGAAGTTCTCGATCTCCTGACCTCATGACCTGCCCGCCTCAGCCCTTCAAAGTGCTGAGATTACAGAGGTGAGCCACCACGCCCGGCCACTACTTATTTTTTTTTAATAAATTTCTTGAAGACCTCTTGTACTAAAAACCTGCATTTGAGAGGATATAAAAAGGATTGTGGATATTCAAGTGTCAGTGATTTCTGGGATGCAAGGATGGTTCAACATATTCAAGCAAATCAATGTGATACACCACTTGAACAAAATGGAAGATGAAACACACATCAACTTAATAGATGGGAAAGAAGCATTTTTCAAAATTCAACATCCAGTCATCACAGAAATCCTAAACAAAATAGATAGCGAAGAAAATTTCCCTCAATAATATAAAGACCGTCCCTTAAATGACCACAGCAGAGATAACCAATCGAAAAAATGATGGAGCCGGGCGCGGTGGCTCAAGCCTGTAATCCCAGCACTTTGGGAGGCCGAGGCGGGTGGATCACGAGGTCAAGAGATCGAGACCATCCTGATCAACATGGTGAAACCCCGTCTCTACTAAAAATACAAAAAATTAGCTGGGCATGGTGGCGCGTGCCTGTAATCCCAGCTACTCAGGAGGCTGGGGCAGGAGAATTGCCTGAACCCAGGGGGCAGAGGTTGCAGCGAGCCGAGATCGTGCCATTGCACTCCAGCCTGGGTAACAAGAGCGAAACTCCGTCTAAAAAAAAAAAAAAAAAAAAAAAAAAAAAAAAAAAAAAAGAAAAAATGATGGAATGTGTTTCCTGTAGAATCTCACAGGATGCAAGAATGCTCTCACTCCTTCCTTTCAATAAATACTGTTGTCCTAGGCAGAGAATTATATAGCAAAAGAAATAAAACTCATCCAAATCAAAAACAAGTACAAATATATTTGGAGATGACATGATCTTCTCTGTAGAAAATTAAGAGTCAACCAAAATTCTACTAGAACTAAGAAACACATTCAGTGTATTTGCAGAATACAGTAGTAGCACAAAAATGTAGTTCAATTTCCATACATCTACAATAAACAATTTTAAGAGAAAATTAAGAAAACATTTCCACTTGCTAGAGAACTTAAGAAATACTTAGGAATAAAGGTGAAAAGTTTCTACCTTGACATCTACAAACACTGATCAAAATGACTAAAAACAAAGAGACACACAACTCATGTTGATGGATTGGAAAAATATAGTGAAATGATTATATAAATGAATGTGATTTAGATTCAGCACAATACCCATAAAACCCCGTATCAGTTTTTGTTAAACAAAAACAAAACAAAACAAAAAACAACAGGCTGGGGAAAGGGGATCACGTCTGTTGGACCAGCTGGTCCAAATCTCCTTACCTTAAGCGACCTACCCATCTTGGCCTCCCACAGTGCTGGGATTACAGGCATGAGTCACCCTGCTTGGCCCAATCATCTTAACATAAACACTTTAATGTCAATTAATGCTTGAACTCAATGTTAAGTCAACTCAAACTCAAGTCGATGCTTAACTGACTCTAATTTCAATTAATTATTGATGGCTGCTTATTCAATGCATTTTGAACAATTATCTCCAGAATGAATTTTCTCATGTTCTGCAAGGAGATACCTTGGACTAAAGACCATGCCACACTTAGGACATTTGTAAGATTTCTGTCCACTATGGATTCTCTGATGTCTAATCATGTGTGAATGTGAAGTAAAGCTTTGCCACCATGATCACACTGGGGAGGTTTCTCTCCTGTATAAATTCTCCTATGTTTTCCATAAGGTGAAGTATCACTGAAGACCTAGCCACAATCATGACATTTGTAAGTTTTCTCACCAGCATGAGTTGGCAGATAAACTGAAAGGTATTAACGATGTTCAAAAAATCTGTCACATTTATCACACTTGTAAGATGTCTTTTCATCAGGAAATTTCCAATGATTTGCAATGGTTATGGTGTTACTCAAGACTTTGTAACTGTCTTTACATTACTAAAGTTTCCCTACACCATGGATTGCTTAATGATGAATAAGTGTTGACTGTCCACCAAAGGCACTGCCATACTCATTACCCGTGTTAAGTTTTCTCTCCGTTGTGAATTCTAGTATGTTATGCCAGGTGTGAATCCTGCCCGAAAGCCTTGTCACAAATCTCAGATGTCTATGGTTTCTATTCAGTATGATTTACCCTGTGTCTTTCAAGGTGTGATTTGGGACTAAAAATGTTGTCACATTCTACACATTTGTAAGGTTTCTCTCCAGTATGAAGTCTATTATGATGGGCAAGATTTGATTTTTGATTAAAAACCTTGCCACATTCGTTACACTTGTAAGGTTTCTCTCCAGTATGAATCGTCTTATAAATTAAAGCTAAATTTTGACTGACGGTCTTGCTACACTAATTAAACTTGTAAGGATTGTTTCTAGTGTGAATTCTAATATGTTTTGCCAGGTATGAATTACACATGAAAGCCTTGTCATAAACCTTACATTTGTAAGCTTTTTCTTCAGTGTGACCGCTCTTATGCATCTGAAGGTGTGATTTGGGAGTGAAAACTTTGTCACATTTTTTACATTTGTAAGGTTTCTCTGCAGTAGAAGGTCTTTGACGACGTGCAAGGGTTGCTTGTTGGTTAAAAACCTTGCCACATTCAGTACACCAGTAAGGTTTCTCTCCAGTATGAAGTCTGTGATGATGTGCACGTCTTGATGGTTGTTTAAACACCTTACCACCTTCGTTACACTTGTAAGGTTCCTCTCCAGTATGAACTGCAAATGAACTGGAAGGGCTGAATTGCGACCAAAGGTTTTGCTACATTCATTACAAATGTCAGGTTTCTCTCCAGTTTAAATTGCCCTATGAAGTACAAGAGATGAATTGTGACTGGAGATCTTGCCACACTCATTACACTTGTGAGGTTTCTCCCCACTATGAAGTCTATAATGGCATAAAAGGGATGACATGTGACTGAAGGTCTTGCCACACTCATTACGCTTTTAAGGTTTCTCTCCAATATGGCTTTGCCAATTAACTGCAAGGTATGAACAATTATCAAAAATTCTTGTCACATTTACTACACGTGTAAGATCTTTCTACATTATGGATTATGATTTGCAATAGTTGTAGCATTACTGAAGACTTCATGACAATCAGTGAATTTGTAAAGTTTCTATACAATGAATTGCTTGATGTCGAATAACTGATGACTGTTGAACTAAAGGCTTTGCCACACTTATTACACTTGGAAGATTTCTCTCCAGTATGAAGTCTATGATGGGATGTAAGGGATGACACCTGACTGAAGGTCTTGCCACACTATTTACATTTGTAGGTTTTCTCTCCACTGTGAATTCTAGTATGTTGTGCCAGGTGTGAATTATGAGTAAATGCCTTGTCACAAACTTTACATTTGTAAGGCTTCTCTCCTGTATGAAGTCTACGATGGCATGTAAGGGATGACTTTTGACTGAAGGTGTTGCCACACTCATTACACTTGAAAGGTTTCTCTCCAGTATGAAGTCTACGATGATATGTAAGCGATGACATTTGATGGAAGGTCTTTCCACACTCACTACATTTGTAAGGTTTCTCTCCAGTATGAAGTCTACGATGGCATGTAAGGGATGACACCTGACTGAAGGTCTTGCCACACTCATTGCACTTGTAAGGCTTCTCTCCAGTATGAAGTCTATGATGACATACGAGGTGTGCTTTGCGATTAAAAACCTTGCCACATTCATTACACTTGTATGGTTTCTCTCCAGTATGAATTGCCTCATGAATTACAAGTGATGAATTTCGACTAAAGGTCCTGCCACAGTCATTACACTTGTAAGGTTTCTCTCCAGTGTGAATTCTAGTATGTCGTGTAAGGTGTGAATCTTGTCTGAAAGCCTTGTCACAAACCTTACATTTGTAAGGTTTCTCTCCAGTATGAAGTCTATGATGGCATGTAAGGGAAGACTTTTGACTGAAGGTCTTGCCACACTTATTACACTTGTACGGTTTCTCTCCAGTATGAATTACCTCATGAATTACAAGTGAGGAATTACTACTGAAGGTCTTTCCACATTCAATACACTTGTAACGATTGTCTCCAGTGTGAATTCTATTATGTTTTGCCAGGTGTGAATCACGTCTAAAAGCCTTGTCACAAACCTTACATTTGTAAGGTTTCTCTCCAGTATGAAGTCTATGATGGCATATAAAATATGACTTTCGACTGAAGGTCTTGCTACACTCATTGCACTTGTAAGGTGTCTCTCCAGTATGACATCTACGATGGCATGTAAGGGATGACTTTTGACTGAAGGTCTTGCCACACTCATGACACTTGTAAGGCTTCTCTCCAGTATGAAGTCTACGATGGCATGTAAGGGATGACATCTTATTGAAGGTCTTGCCACACTCATTGCACTTGTAAGGTTTCTCTCCAGTATGAACTCTATGATGGCATGTAAGGTATGACTTTCGACTGAAGGTCTTGCCACACTCATTACACTTGTAAGGTGTCTCTGCAGTATGAAGTCTACGATGGCATGTAAGGGATGACATCTTATTGAAGGTCTTGCCACACTCACTACACTTGTGAGGTTTCTCTCCAGTATGAAGTCTATGACGGCGTTGGAGCCATAACTTGTGACTGAAGGGCTTCCCACAGTTATTATACTTGTAAGGTTTCTCACCAGAGTGACATCTGCGATGGCTTTCAACACATCGCTTCTCATTAAAGACCCTGCCACACACACCACATTCATATTGTTTGTTTACTAAAGGGCTTATTTGATATTTCCTTAAGAATGAGCTACAATTGAGGTTGCCACTGTCTGAAAAAGGAAAAAAAAAAAAAACAAAAATTAAAAATTAATTAAAAGAACGAGCTACAACTAAAGGCACTCTAATGACATTGGAAAGAATTTTCTCTCATGTGTACTTCCTGTTTCTGTGTAAGTAATGAAGAATGGAGGAAATTACTGTCATAGTTATTAGAAATATGGGTTTTGGCTATACAAAAATTTTTTTTTTTTTTTGAGACGGAGTTTTGCTCTTGTTACCCAGGCTGGAGTGCAATGGCACAATCTCGGCTCACCACAACCTCCGCCTCCTGGGTTCAAGCAATTCTCCTGCCTCAGCCTCCAGAGTAGCTGGGATTACAGGCACGTGCCACCATGCCCAGCTAATGTTTTGTATTTTTAGTAGAGACGGGGTTTCACCACGTTGACCAGGATGGTCTCGATCTCTCGACCTCGTGATCCACCCGCCTCGGCCTCCCAAAGTGCTGGGATTACAGGCTTGAGCCACCGCGCCCGGCCTACAAAAATATTATTTGGGATGTCGAAACTAAGGAAGCGTCATTGATAGACTTCTCAACTTGATTACCAAGATTCCCTTCAGTCTGAAATATGTGGAGTTCAGTTAGATGTGAATGAAAGCTTAATCCAAGCTCATCTTTAATAGGCTTGTTTCCGGCATGCTTTCATCGTATCGGTCTGTATTACCACTCAGCTTTTTTATTTCTGTCCTGGGTGCTTCATGGTTATTTCTTTCATCTTCTTGCCACTCAAACTCAAAGTCATGACTGTGTTTCTCCATTTTCTGGAAGCAGAAATCTCCAATGTGATGACTGTCACCTCTTCTCAATGTCCCTGTGTAAAACCATTCTGTATTACCTTGCCTTGTTGATGAAAACTTCTTCCTTATATATTAGAAGAGATATCTACAAAATATAAACTCCACAGCTCATGGCCGGGACTAGTGCTATTATGTATATATAAAAAAAGACATTAAAGAGCTTGTTGCCTATTTTTTTTTCCGCTATGACAAAACAGCAAGAAGATGCTTGGGTTAAATCAGAAAGGCTCCCACCAGAAGCCAATTTGACTGCACCTTGCTCTTGGATTTCTGACTTTCTAAATTCAAAAGAAATAAATCTGTGTCTTAAGCTTCCCAGTTTAAGCTATTCTTTTTTGTTGTTGTTGTTGTTGTTGTTTTGAGACTGAGTCATGCTCGATCACTCAGACTGGAGTGTAATGGTGTGATTCTCCTGCCTAAAGAGATTCTCACATAGCCGACTCCCAAGTAGGTGGGTCTACAGCCTGGCTAAGTGTGTGAATATGTGTGTATGTCACAGTCTCACTCTGTGATACAGCCTGGACTTCAGTGGCATGATCTTGGCTCACTGCAACTTTTGCCTCCTGGGATCTAGTAATTCTTTGACCTCAGACTCCCAAGTAGCTGGGATTACACGTGCATGTCACCATGCCCAGCTAATTTCTGTACTTTTAGTAGAGACGGGGTTTGACCATGTCGACAAGGCTGGTCTCAAACTCCTGACCACAGGTTATCTGTCCGTCTTGGCCTACCAAAGCGCTGAGATTTTAGGTGTGAGCCAATGCACCCGGACAATTTTTTGTATTTAGTAGATTCAAGGTTTCAGCGTGTTGGCCCAACTGGTCTCAATCTCCCGATCTGAAGCAACCCAACCATCTCAGCCTTGCAAAGTGCTGGGATTAGAGGTGTGCGCCACCATGGTCAGCCAGTCTAAGCTATTTCTGACATGAAAGCAAAATGACTGACACAAAAAAAGGGGCATCTCATCATCAACATCACCCAAGGTTGAAAAATCTTATTAAACAAAGAAAGTTTAGTCTGGACTGTAAATTTTCAATATGTGAAGACATCTAATTAACATGTTTTAAAATCCTGGAGGCATCCAGGCATGGTGGCTCATGCCTGTAATCCCAACACTTTCAAACGCTGAGGTGGGTGGATCACCTAAGATACGGAGTTCAAAACCAGCGTGACCAATGTGGAGAAACCACATCTCTACTACAAATACAAAATCGGCCAGGTGTGATGGTGCATGCCTGTAATCCCAGCTACTTCATAGCCTCAAGCATGATAAGTGATTGAATCTGGAAAGCGGAGATTGAAGTTAGCAGACATTGCGCAACTGCACTCCAACCTGGGCAACAATAGAAAACCTCCATCTCAAAAACAAAACAAAACAAAGCAAAACAGAAAAAAAAAAAACCTGGAGACAAACTATTACTTCTCAAATAAGGACAGCAGCCCCACACTATTCATTTACTGGACCCAATTTACACATTTGGTAAGTGAGGGACAAAACTTGATCCCACGACATGTTCTTGACCACAACAGTCACCCAGGCAGTACAGAAAATGACCAGTCACAGAAAATACAAGGAGACAGGAAGAAATACATCAAAGTGGATACAAGGGCTGAGCTGTGGCACTGACAGTGATGCTGAGCCATCGCTCATGGAGAATGTGCTGAGTCATCATGCCCTGCACACACTGATTTAGGCAGCCTCCTATAATTACGTCCAGTGGATGTATAAGGTCTTGACTTCCCGAGTGAAAGTCGTGCTGAAGGGGATGGGTTCGTAGAAACTGGGGTGTTCACCATTACAAATTAACAGGCTGGAGAGCAGTAGCACTTTGCATCAGATCAATGCAGCATGTGAGGCAAGGTCAGGAAAGGAAGGACAAGGGTGGAGGGCAGAAGTAATGGGCATGCAGGAGTCAAGTGTGTGCACGCTCGTCTGTGGGAATATAATCTCACCAGCATGGATCAAATTTTGAGCTTGAAGGGAAGTGGAACTAATTTAGCAAACGGTAAAATGTTGACCCAAGGATAAATACACAAATTACATTATGGGTAGAGGACAAGAATGAAAGATCCAAAACAGCAGCAGTAGTGACCTGAGGTGAAGGCAGTTTTACGTCTCTTAAATTACACGGCCTCTGATTTCAGTTTCAGGCATATCCTTAACAAAATCCCCATGTACATTGCAGCACTGTGTACACACAAGAAAACACAAGTAAACTCTCTGAAATAGAGTTCAGCAATGTAGGAGACTGTGGGGGTGAAGAGTGATCCCCTGGCTGAGTACATAAAGATGTGATTGTAAAAACAGAGTCAGGCCAGTAGCGATATATTCCAGCCTATAACCCCAGCACTCTGGGGGGTCGAGGTATACTAGATCCTGAGGTCAGGAGTTCGAGACGAGCCTGGCCAGGATGGGCAAACGCCATTTCTAGTACAAAAATACAAAACATTAGCCGGGCATGGTGGCGTGCACCTGTAATCCCAGCTATTGAGGAGGTTGAGGTAGGAGAATTTCTGGAACCTGGAAAACGGAGGTTTCAGTGAGCCGAGATTGCGCCACTGCACTCCAGCCTGGGTGTCAGAGCAGGACTCCATCTCAAAAAAAAAAAAAAAAAAAAAAAAGAAAAGGCCGAGTGTGGTGGCTCAAGCCTGTAATCCCAGCACTTTGGGAGGCCAAGGCGGGTGGATCACGAGGTCAAGAGATTGAGACCATCCTGGTCAACATAGTGAAACCCCGTCTCTAATAAAAATACAAAAAAATTAGCTGGGCATGGAGGCAGGTGCCTGTAATCCCAGTTTCTCAGGAGGCCGAGGCAGGAGAATTGCCTGAACCCAGGAGGCGGAGGTTGCGGTGAGCCGAGATCCCGGCATTGCACTCCAGCCTGGGTAACAAGAGCAAAACTTGAACTCAAAAAAAAAAAAAAAAAAAAAAAAAGAGAAAGAAAGAAGCAGAGCCGGCTGGAGATTTTTGTCTACACATGTGATCAGTTACATTAGTGAAGAAAAGGAATGTGTGAACTAAAATGTTTCCCATATGAAAATTGAAGGGTAAATCTCATTCCCTATATAAAAACAATGGCGTCTCTTTTACTGGATCCTATATTATTTGAAATCACATCTGTGGATTTTAAACAGTCTCTGGAATAAATGAGAGATGAAAAGTGAAGGTGACAAAGAACCAAAGGCCAGGCCCTTATATTCTCATAAAGACATCAACTCAACCAAAATGTTTCATCAAAAATATGTTCAGGCCGGGCGCGGTGGCTCAAGCCTGTAATCCCAGCACTTTGGGAGGCCAAGGCGGGTGGATCACAAGGTCAAGAGATCGACACCATCCTGGTCAACATGGTGAAACCCCGTCTCTACTAAAAATACAAAAAAGTAGCTGGGCATGGTGGCATATGCCTGTAATCCCAGCTACTCAGGAGGCTGAGGCAGGAGAATTGCCTGAACCCAGGAGGCGGAGGTTGCGGTGAGCCGAGATCGCGCCATTGCACTCCAGCCTGGGTAACAAGAGGGAAACTCCGTCTCAAAAAAAAAAAAAAAATATGTTCATAGGCTGGGTGTGGTGGCTCAGGCCTGTAATCCCAGTACTTTGAGAGGCAGACCATAGGAGGATCACTTGCGGTCAGGAGTTTGAGACCAACCGGGCCAACATAATGAAACTCTGTCTACTGAAAATACAAAAATTTCCCGGGCATGGTATTCCATGCCTGTAATCCCAGCTACTTAGGAGGCTGAGGCAGGATCATCGCTTCAACCAGGGAGATAGAGGTTGCAGTGAGCCGAGATTGCACCATTGCACTCCAGCCCGGGCAACAAGAAGAAAACTCCATATCAAAAAATAATAAAAATAAAAAAACAACCAAAAAACGGCCTGGAAAAAGAAAAGGAAAATCAGAACAGAAAATACACAATCAGAAAAAGTCAGGAAAGACAAGGGCAGATTCCTCGTGTCTGGAGGGACGTTTTCCTCACCCACAGACTCCAGGTTCCTGTAGTTCTCCAACATCACGTCCCTGTATAAAGCCCTCTGCATAGGGGTCAGGCATTTCCACTCTGCGGAAGAGAATTCTATAGCCACATCCCTGAAAGTCAGGCGTCCCTAAAATGAAAAACACATTTCAACAAAACATTATGGAGGAGTGAGTTAAGAAAATGATAAAAAATGAGAAAAGAGAAATTAAGTATCAATTTCATCAAAGACTGTTTGTTCTCACAAACCCACGAAAGGTTATTTTTGAACTTTTTTTTTTCCTATAGTTGCATTTTACAGCACTTTCTCATCAAACATTTTAAGATCCCCTAAGTCATTGCAGAAGTCTTTATTTTTTATTTTATTTTATTTTTTATTTTATTTTATTTTTTTTTGAGATGGAGTTTCGCTCTTGTTACCCAGGCTGGAGTGCAATGGCGCCATCTCGGCTCACCGCAACCTCCACCTCCTGGGTTCAGGCGATTCTCCTGCCTCAGCCTCCTGAGTAGCTGGGATTACAGGCACGAGCCACCATGCCCAGCTAATTTTTTGTGTTTTTAGTAGAGACGGGGTTTCACTATGTTGACCGGGATGGTCTCGATCTCTTGACCTCATGATTCACCCGCCTCGGCCTCCCAAAGTGCTGGGATTACAGGCTTGAGCCACCGCGCCCGGCAAGACGTCTTTATTTTACGGACAATATAAAAAAAAGGAAAAAGAAGAAGAAAACGCTGGGCTGGGTACGGTGGCTCACACCTGCTATCCCAACACTTTTGGAAGCCAAGGCAGGCAGATCATTTCGTGTCAGGAGCTGAAGACTAGGCTGGCCAACATTGTAAAACCCTGTCTCTATTAAAAGTATAAAAATTAGTTGGGCGTGATGGCAGTGCCTGTAATCCCAGTTACGCAGGAGGCTAAGGCAGAAGAATCACTTGAACCCAGCAGACAAAGGCTGCAGGGAGTCCAGATCAGTCCACTATACTCCACCATGGGTGACAGAGACTCCATCTCAACAACAAAAAGCAAGGTTGGGCTGGGCGCGGTGGCTCAAGCCTGTAATCCCAGCACTTTGGGAGGCCGAGGTGGGTGGATCACGAGGTCAAGAGATCGAGACCATCCTGGTCAACATGGTGAAACCTCGTCTCTACTAAAAATACAAAAAATTAGCTGGGCATGGTGGCACGTGCCTATAATCCCAGCTACTCAGGAGGCTGAGGCAGGAGAATTGCCTGAACCCAGGAGGCAGAGGTTACGGTGAGCCGAGATTGTGCCATTGCACTCCAGCCTGAGTAACAAGAACGAAACTCTGTCTCAAAAAAAAAAAAAAAAAAAAGCAAGGTTGGGTGCAGTGACTCATGCATGTAATCCCAGCATTTTTGGAGGCCAAGGCCAGCATACCACAAAGTTCAAGACAAGCCTGGCAAATATCGTGAAACCCCAACTCTACTAAAATTACAAAAGTAGCCTGTGTATTGGCACATGCCTCTAATCCCAGCTACTCAGGAGGCTGAGGGTGAAGAATTGCTTGAGGGCCCGGGCATGGTGGCTCAAGCCTGTAATCCCAGCACTTTGGGAGGCCGAGGCGGGTGGATCACAAGGTCGAGAGATCGAGACCATCCTGGTCAACATGGTGAAACCCTGTCTCTACTAAAGATACAAAAAATTAGCTGGGCATGGTGGCACGTGCCTGTAATCCCAGCTACTCAGGAGGCTGAGGCAGGAGAATTGCTTGGAGGCAGGAGAATTGCCTGAACCCAGGAGGCGGAGGTTGCGGTGAGCCGAGATCGTGCCATTGCACTCCAGCCTGGGTAACAAGGGCGAAACTCCGTCTCAAAAAAAAAAAAAAAGAATTGCTTGAATCCAGGAGGCAGAGGTGGCAGTGAGCTGAGATCACAACACTGCACTTCAGCTTGGGTGACAGAGTGAGACTCACAAATACAAAGAAAAAAAGAAAGAAAGAGAGGGAGAGCCGGGCGCAGTGGCTCACGCCTGTAATCCTAGCACTTTGGGAGGCTGAGGTGGGTGGATCACCTGAGGTCAGGATTTCAAGACCAGCCTGGCCATCATGGTGCAACCCCATCTTTAAAAAACAAGTAAAAATAAAAATAAAACATAAAAAATAAAAAAAGAACGAGAGAGAAATAAATGAATAAATAAATAAATACTGGCCACATGTGGTGACACACACCTATCATTCTAGCCCATTGGGAGGCTAAAGTGGAGATCACTTGAGCATAAGAGTTTGAGGCTGCTGTAAACTTGAATTGTGCCATTGTACTTCAGAGGTAAGCCACAGAGCAACAGACACCTTCTGTATTTTTTTTTTTTTTTTTTTGAGACGGAGTTTCGCTCTTGTTACCCAGGCTGGAGTGCAATGCCGCAACCTCCGCCTCCTGGGTTCAGGCAATTCTCCTGCCTCAGCCTCCTGAGTAGCTGGGATTACAGGCACGTGCCACCATGCCCAGCTAATTTTTTGTATTTTTAGTAGAGACGGGGTTTCACCATGTTGACCAGGATGGTCTTGATCTCTCGACCTCGTGATCCACCTGCCTCGGCCTCCCAAAGTGCTGGGATTACAGGCTTGAGCCACCGCGCCCGGCCTTTTTTTTTTTTTTTTTTTTTAAGAGAAAGTCTTACTCTGTTATGCAAACTGGAGTGCAACGGCAGAATCTTGGGTTACTGTAACCTCCCCCTTCTAGGTTCAAGTGATTCTCCTGCTTCAGTCTCCTGAGTAGCTGAGATTATAGTCATGCACCACCACACCTAGCTAATTTTTGTATTTTTAGTACAAATGGGGTTTCATCATGTTGGCCTAGCTGGTCATGAACTCCTGAGCTCAAGTGATCCATCCAGTTCTGCCTCCCTACGTGCTGGGATTACAGGCCTGAGCCACCACACCCAAACCAAGATCCTGTCTCTTAAAAACATTTTGAAGATCCTGGAAGATTAGCTTCTGTTGGTAAGAAAAAGAGAAAGAAAAAAGTTGGCCGGGCGCGGTGGCTCAAGCCTGTAATCTCAGCACTTTGGGAGGCCAAGGCGGGTGGATCACAAGGTCGAGAGATCGAGACCATCCTGGTCAAAATGGTGAAACCCCGTCTCTACTAAAAATACAAAACATTAGCTGGGCATGGTGGCACGTGCCTGTAATCCCAGCTACTCAGGAGGCTGAGGCAGGAGAATTGCTTGAACCCAGGAGGCAGAGGTTGCGTTGAGCCGAGATCGTGCCATTGCACTCCAGCCTGGGTAACAAGAGCAAAACTCCCGTCTCAATAAAAAAAAAAAAAAAAACGTTTGGAGTCAAAGGTATGTTGATCTACTAGTGTAGCTTCCAATACATCACCAAATCAGAAACAAAGTATCTCCCCTTATTGGTCTCCTTTTCCAGAATTCACCAGACATCTGTGTACATTAACCTATGTGTTTCATATGTGGTTTCTCTGATCTGGTCACCAAAAGCTGATATCCAGATGTGGTTCCTGAACAATCTATGCTGCCCAACAGCACTGATACCAAGGGGCCCACAGCCCGTGTCCATCCAGGTCTGTATGTCAGCCCTTCCCATGACCATGCCCAGTGGAGCCTCTTCCCAGGTTCATGTCACTGGTTCACAGGAGGTGGAATCTCAGAGCAGATGACAGGAACTCAGGGAAGGCATGGGTGAGTGCGAGCCAACGTGTCAGGCAGGACGCTTCAGATTCAGAACAGACTGGCTACTACAATACCTGGCATTTCAGAAAGGAAAGAGACAGATGAATCCACCGAGGAGTGTCACTTTACCTGAGGAAGAGCCATGCCTGGCTCCTTTCTTTCCGCTTCTGAACTGCTTTCTCATGTAACAGGAGACTTTAGAAATTAATCCTGTGCCGGGCGCGGTGGCTCAAGCCTGTAATCCCAGCACTTTGGGAGGCCGAGGCGGGTGGATCACGAGGTCGAGAGATCGAGACCATCCTGGTCAACGTGGTGAAACCCCGTCTCTACTAAAAATACAAAAAATTAGCTGGGCATGGTGGCGCGTGCCTGTAATCCCAGCTACTCAGGAGGCTGAGGCAGGAGAATTGCTTGAACCCAGGAGGCGGAGGTTGCGGTGAGCCAAGATTGTGCCATTGCACTCCAGCCTGGGTAACAAGAGCGACACTCTGTCTCAAAAAAAAAAAAAAAAAAGAAATTAATCCTGTACATTACAAAAAATATTAGACTTAATGTTAGAAATGATTAACTCCCTTCTTGTGACCAAAAAAAAAAAAAAAAAAAAAAATACATGAGGGAGATCGTACCCTGTAGAAAGACAGGCCTCTGCTGCCCACTGCACCAGAGATCATGCAGAGAGAAGACAGTCCCACAGGAACACCTACAAGTGTATGTTTCACCCTGGTTTTGAGATCTCACTCCCCTCCTGGAGAAGCCCCACACACCAGGCAGCAGTGGGGGGCTGGACTGGACTGAGCTCCCCTTCAGGGCACAGACCCAGCCCTGACCAAACCCCATCCACAGCACAGCCCCTCCCCTCTCTGTGGATCACAGGCTCAGCTCAGCCCTCAGAACTGGAGGACACAGAGCCCTGACCCTCAGTGCTGCTCACAGATTACTATCACCTGGGACACTGTAGGTATTTGTGTGTCACTTACTGTGACCTGGAAGCCCCCTCCCTGCTTCAAGTCTTTTTGCCTTTGCTTCAAGTTTTTCTGCCTTTGCAGACCAAACCAACGTACTTCTTACAAATATTGATATCTCATGTCTCCCTAAAATGTGTAAAATTAAGCTGTACCCTGATCACCATGGGCACATGTTGTCACGATAAGGCTCAAGGTGATTTGAGTCTCATCCCGTTTTTGCCCTTCTTGTGCTTTTTCTTTAATTTTTGGAGGACTGGAATCTATTTATAATTTGAGTTAAAACTCAGCACTGGCAAGGCACAGTGGCTCACGCCTGTAATCCCAGGACGCTGGGAGGATGAGGTGGGTGGATCACTAGCTCAGGAGGGTGAGATCATTCAGGCAAACACGATGAAACCCCATTTCTACTAAAAATACAAAAAAATTAGCCAGCCATAATGGTGGGTGCCTGTATCCCAGCTACTCAGGAGGCAAAGGCAGGAAAATCGCTTGAGCCAACAAGGTGGAGGTTGCAATAAGCCATGATGGTGTCACTGTACTCCAGCCTGGGTGACAGAGCAAGACTCAACCAGAAAGAAAGAGAGAGAGAGAGAGAGAGAGAGAGAGAGAGAGAAACAGAGAGACAGAGAGAGACAGAGAGAGAGAGAGAGAGAGAGAGAGAAGCAGGGGAAAGAGAGGGAGAAATCGAGAGGGAGAGAGGGGGGTGGGGGGGAAGAGAAAGAGAGGGGTGAGGTCAGGTGAGGTGAGGTGGGAGGGAGGGAGGTAAAAATAAATAAAAAAGAGTACTATGCTCTCCTGAATGAAAAGCCACACACTGTATTTTGTCAGTCATTTTAGGGGTCAGTGTCAATCCGAGTTTTTCTGGTCTTCTTTCTCACCTCCATGTTACAGGTGGACCCATGAAGGTTCACAGTGGCAGACAATTCACCAAGTTATCCTGAGAAACTCTGAGATAAGAAGGAGGTGTGGCCAATTCCCATGTGATGGCCTGCAAGGGCCAATAGGCTGCCTTGGTCTTCCTCTTCTAGAAAATTCCAAGACCACCAGGGAATGGTAGCTCACCCCTATAATCGAAGCACTTTGAGAAGCTGAGGCAGGCAGATCACTTCAGCCCAGAAGTTTGAAATCAACCTGGGCAACTTGGTGAAACCCCTTCTCTCCCAAAAATACACAAAGTTAACCAGGCATCATGGCACATGTCTGTGGTCCCAGCTACTTGAGAGGCTGACTCAAGAAGATTACTTGAGCCTGGGAGGCAGAGGTTGCAGTGATCCCAGATTGTGCCAGTGCATCATAGCCTGAGTTACAGAGTGACACTCCACCTCAAGAAAAAAAAAAAAAAGCAAAAACAATGGTCATCCTCTTCTAGAAAATTCCAGAACTGGCCACATGGGGCAAAATCCTAGTATAATCCCAGCACTTTGGGAGGCTGAAGCAAGCAGATCAGTTATGCCCAGGAGTTTCAGATCAACTTGGCAACATGGTGAAACCCCATGTACAAAAAAATAGCCAGTTGTGGTGCTCCGTATCTGTGATCCTAGCTATTTGGGAGGCCGACTAGGGAGGATTGCTTGGGCCTTAAAAGCAGAGGTTGCAGTGATCCAAGATCCTGTCACTGCACTCAAGTATGGAGTTACACTCCATCTCAAAAACCCGAGGGAAAAAAAAAAAAAAAAATCTGGGTGAGGTGGCTAATACCTGAAATCCCAACACTTTGGGAGACAGTGGTGGGGGATCCGGTCAGGCGTTTGAGACCAGCCTGACCAACATCGTAAAACCCAGTCTCTACTAAAAATACAAAAAGTAGCTGGCCATGGTGGCACACACCTGTAGTCCCAGCTACTTAGGAGTCTGAGGCAGAATTCCTTGAACCTGGGAGGTGGAGGTTGCAGTGAGCTGAGATCGCAGGCCTGCACTCTAGCTTGGGTGACAGAGTGAGACTCCATCTAGAAAGAAAGAAAAGAAAAAAAAAAGAAAAGAAAAAAGAAGCTGGGCATAGTAGCTCATGCCTGTAATCCCAGCACTTTGGGAGGCCTGTGTAGCTGGATCGCTTCAGCCCTGGAGTTGGAGAACAGCCTGGGAAACATAACGAAAGTCCGTCTCTACCAAGAACACAAAAATTAGCTCGGTGTGGTGGTACCCATCTGTGGTTGCAGCTACTCTGGAGACTGAGGTCAGAGGAGCTCTTGAGCACAGGTTGACACCACAGTGAGCTGAGATTCTGTAACAGCTCTTTCGCCTGGGTAACAGAGTGACACCCATCTGCAATAAAAATGAGAAAAAGGAAACACCCGGGTCCTGGGTCTGGGGGCAGGGAATCTAAGGCCAAATAACACGAACTTTCCAGATCTATCTAGACCAAAAGGAAAAACCCCATCTTCCCAAGCAGAGTAACAAAGATTCAAAGGCTACTCTCCCTACAGCCTCCCCCTTCCACCAAGTCTCCCATGGAAAGGGAAAGAGCCCAGGAGTGGCCACGGCCAAGCAGGTGCATAGGGGACCCGTTTATTCTGGCCTCGAGACAATTCACCTCAGCATTTCATTGGCCAAGGGCCACATCTTTTATCTAAATAAGGGGTAGCCCATAGGACTTCAAAAGAAAGACTAACCGTCCAAAACTTTATAAATGGGCCCCTGGAGAGGCTCCCTAGGGCCCACTCCCACGCAGTGGAATGCTTTCTTTTTCTTTCTTTCTTTCTTTTAGGCAGAGTTTCACTCTTGTTATCCAGGTTGGAGTGCAATGGCGCGATCTTGGCTCACCGCAACCTCCGCCTCCCGGGTTCAGGCAATTCTCCTGCCTCAGCCTCCTGAGTAGCTGGGATTACAGGCACGCGCCACCATGCCCAGCTAATTTTTTGTATTTTTAGTAGAGACGGGGTTTCACCATGTTGGCCAGGATGGTCTCGATCTCTTGACCTCGTGATCCACTGGCCTCGGCCTCCCAAAGTGCTGGGACTACAGGCTTGAGCCACCGCCCCCGGCTGGAATGCTTTCTTTTTTTTTTTTTTTTTTTTTTTGAGACGGAGTTTCGCTCTCGTTACCCAGGCTGGAGTGCAATGGCGCCATCTCGGCTCACCGCAGCCTCCGCCTCCTGGGTTCAGGCAATTCTCCTGCCTCAGCCTCCTGAGTAGCTGGGATTACAGGCACGCGCCACCATGCCCAGCTAATTTTTTGTATTTTTTAGTAGAGACGGGGTTTCACCATGTTGACCAGGATGGTCTCGATCTCTCGAACTCCAGTAAGAGCACGTTTTCCAGGGGTTGAAACAGAGGAGCAGCAGGGCCCGACTGGAGGAGGAGGTGGGGAAGGGCAGCGCCTTCGGAAGGGGTGGGGTCTGCAAGATCCCAGGACTGGGCCGACGACGCGCCTCCCCGGGACTGGGGCTGCACGCTGCGCTCCAGGGCCCCCCAAGACCGAGGCTGAGAGACGCCCACGGCGGGAATCTGAATCGCGGCTGAGGACTTGAACCAGCAAAAGACGGAAGGAGGGGACGGGAACGGTTCTGAGCATGAAAATTCCGCCGCAGGCGTCTGCAAGGCCCGTTACAGAGAGAACGGGGACGGGACCCGCCTCAGGACGACTGCAACCTCAAAAGGAAGCCACTCACGGACTCTGAACCGACCGACGCAGTTTGCTCTGGGTTGACAAAGAGGGGCTGGAATATCCAGGTCTGTGGGGACTCCAGGTCCCCAGTACAGAAGCGCCAGAGACCTGGGAAGCGCAGACAAAAGAAACAGCAAAATTTACGCACCACGGTGTGACCCTCAGTCCACGCCACCCACTTCCGGGCCTGTGCCAATCAGCGCAGGACAGAGGCCAGGCCTCAGCGGGACACACAACGTGGGCGGGGCCAGGCCGGACCGGAACTGACGGAAGAGGGCGGGGCGCGGAGGACGAGGGGCGGGGCGCGGAGGACGAGGGGCGGGGCGCAGGGCAAAAGAGGCTTTGGCTGTGAGGGGTGTCAGGGGGCGACACGGGGGCGGGGCTTGAACTTCCCTCCATCTAACTCTTCGCTTTTTTTTCCAGGTTTGGTAGGGAAACTGGCCAGTGAAGCTGCATAGCTCAAGAGTCTGGTACCATCTCTTTGACAAGTCAACCTTGGGCAGTAATTGCATCCAGGAAAATTCCTTGCTGTTGAAATTTTAGTTGGCCGGACACAGTGGCTAACGCCTGTAATCCCAAGATTTTGGAAGGCCAAGTTGGGCGGATCACCTGAGGTCAGATGTTCGAGACCAGGTTTGCAAGCATGGTGAAACTCCGTCTCTAGTAAA